CCCCCAAAACCAAAACAAAATGCTGTTATATGGAACTCTAAATGTCTCTCTTTTTTTAATGTATAAAAAAGAAAACAATGGCTTTCTACTATTTAAGGATACTTATTCCCCAGCTTCCTTGCCCTCCCCCTCCTTTTCTCAAGTTTCTGCTGAACCAGCCAGGAAATTAAAAAAAAGAGAGAGAAAACCAGACTGCCTTATTCCTCCTATTGTCAGGTTAAATCATATGCGATTGATATTTTGACTGGTTTGAAAGAGTCTGCAGTCAGCAATTTCATATGCATCTGCCAAATTAACATTTTGCCATATTTTTTTTTCTTTGCATCAAATGCTTTGAAGACAAGGGGAGGAAATCTATTTAAATTCTTATGTTTCAGGGATTGAGATATTTAGTGCAGCAAGCCTTGTACGCAGATGACCTGGGTTCGATCCATGGTATCCCAGATCTCCCAAACTATGCCAGAAGTGATTCCTAAATGCAGAGCTGGGAGTAAGCCCTGAGTACTAGCTAAAAGCCAAAACCAAAACACAATAAATTTGTTTCATGTTTTATTTCTCTAGCCACCACAGAAATCCAATTATGCAGTTGAGTGGATGCAAACTATTAATAAAATGAGTTAACTCCTTACTATAAAATTTTATATTAGATTTCTGTTTCATATAATGAGAACCATAAATGAACCATAAACCCTTAGTCAATTCACTTGGAAATTTAGATAGCAAATCAGTTAACAGTAATTTCTGATTTATGAAAACTTTTTATTCTTTTTTTGTGGTGCCAGGAACTAAATACAGGACTTCACACACATGAGGCTTGTGCTCTGCCTCTGACCCACGTCTCTGATCCAAGAGGCTTCTTTTTTTGGTGGGGTGGGGGAACACCTGGTGATGCTCGGGGGTTACTCTCGGCTCTGCATTCAGGAATTACTCCTGGTAGTGCTTATGGGATATGGGGGATCCAACCCAGGTAGGCTATATGGGATATATGGGATTTATGGGGATATGGGGTACCGGGGATCGAACCAAGGTCAGCCACAGACAAGGCAAATGCCCTACCTGCCGTGCCATTGCTCTGTCTGCCCCCAAGAAACTTTTTCAGTTGTTTTTGTTTTGTTTTTGGCTTTCGGCCCGGCAAGCTACCCGAGAGTATTCGATATGCCAGACACAGTAACAACAAGGTCTCCAATGGAGACGTTACTGGGCCCGCTCGAGCAAATCGACGATCAACGGGAGGGCCTTTACCTTTTTTACCTTTTGGCTTTCGGGGGGCCATACCCAGTGGTGTTCGTGGGTACTCCTGGCTTAGTGCTGGGGATCTCTCCTGGGGGCCCTTGGGGAACCATGTGATGTTGGGAATTAAATCCGGGGCTCCAGCATACAAAAGCATGTGGTCCAGCCCCTTGGCGCTTGTGGTCCAGCCCCTTGGCCTACACGCTGGCTCCTGGAAACTTCTAACCCTGAATTTCTGTGTGCTGGTTTCTCCACTCTCCCTCCCTTTCCCTACCCTCACTGGTGACCCTTCTGTCCAGGAATGGTCACATGACACTTGTGGGATACTCGACTAGAGAGAGCATGGGCTGGTGCTTGCCATATGGGGCAGCAGACAGAGTCGTGAGCTGTGACCGCCACACGGACGCTGAGCCTATTGTTGACTTTAGGTCATGAACGAATGGCCAATCTAGTGATGTTGGAGGAGGGGATGCAGTGTTGGGGGAGGCTGGTCCTTAGGAGGCCTGGGCAGAGGCCAAACAAAGGGAGTGTAGTGTCCCTGTCTTCCCGGAGAGAGGTGGGAGACTTGGTGAGGGGCTGGCACTGAAGGCAGGGAGGCCCCAGCTGGGGCTGGACTCTGGCTACAGGGAGGGGTCTGCTGAAGGCGCAGGAACAGAGGATGAGGGAACTCGAGAAGGCAGACATAGCCCCCTCATGCCCCTGTCAGCGGGGTGAATGGAGATGGAGGGGCAGGTGTGGGGCGTCCAGCGAGAGCTCTTCTCGTCAGTTGAGTTTCTGAGCCTAGAGGTCACGTGTGAGTGCCGGGCGGCAAACATTGAAGGGTTCTTTTGTCAATTTTTGGCTCTTGGGCCACACCCATAGATGCTTAGGGCTTATTCCTGGCTCTGCTCTCAGGGGTCACTCCTGGCAGGGAACTACATACATAGGTTGCTGGTTCGGCCTCATGCAAGGCAAGTGTCCTGCCCTCTGTACTATCTCTCTGACCCTCAGGGTTGCTTCTGGCCTTGAGAAACTCACCACCTTGTCCTTGGAGCCCCGTGCACCCTAAGACAGCACAGTTTGCTGTCTAGGCCTGCAGGTTCTTCAGCTGGGAGGCCTTGTTCTTGTGGCCTGAAGCCGTGACTTTTCTCTGCTGGGGACACTCATTTCTGGCTCCATGCTAGCTGAGTCACATCAGAAGATCCACCCCAGACTGGAGCGATAGCACAGCGGGTGTGGCATTTGCCTTGCACTTGGCCGACCCGGGTTCGATTCCCCAGCATCCCATATGGTCCCCCAAAGCACCACCAGGAGTAATTCCTGAGTACATGAGTCAAGAGTAAACCCTGTGCATTGCTGAGTGTGATCCAAAAAGAATTTAAAAAAAAAAGATCCACCTCATCCCCGGGGCTCTCCCAAAAGAGGCCTTCTCACCCAACTCACCCAGATTTCGTTGCTCCCCTTAATATTTTCCCTCCTTAACTTTTTCTCAACTAAGCATAGTAAGTAAAAAAAAAAATCCCGAAACTTTTTTTCAACTGAAATATAAATAAAAATATGTGTGTATATATACTTTGGTGGGCTGACGAGAAGGCACTAAGGACTGAGTGCACGCTTTGTGATTTAATTCTCCAGCACCCCATGGTTTCCGAATGTGAACCTTCCCCTTCCCTCAAACCCCTTTTATCTGTCACTGTCCTCCCATTGTTCATGGATTTTGCTCGAGCGGGCCCAGTAACATTGTGAGACTTGTTACTGTGTTTGGTATTTCGGACATGTCATGGGGAGCTTGTCAGGCCTTGCCATGCGGGCGAGATACTCTCGGTAGCTAGCCGGGCTCTCCGAGAGGGGCGAAGGAATCGAAAGTGGACGAATGGAAGGCGGAGGAATCGAACTCGGGTCAGCCGCATCGGCCGCATGCAAGGCAAATGCTCTACCCGCTGTGCTATCGCTCCAGCCCATTTTATATGTGTATAAAATGTTTATTATATAATTAAGTACAATTTGTAATTAAATATGTGTACACACACACACACACACACACACATCCATGCCAGTGAAGTGGCATGGTGAACTGGAGCACATGCTTCGCTCACCGGAAGCCCAGGCTCCATCCCTGCATGGGCTGTCAAGGGGATACTGCCAAGACTGAGCCCCTGCGCTGCCACACACAAAAGCAAACTCTGTCTGGGTACCTGCTGCCTGTCTTTCTGGCTACACACACACACACACACACACACACACACACACACACACACACACACACACAGGAGGGGCCGGGATTTGGCTCAATGGCAGAGCAGGTGTATCACAAGCATAAGGCCTCAGGGCTGGAGCAATAGCACAGCAGGTAGGGCGTTTGCCTTGCGTGCAGCCAGCCCGGCCGAGCCAGGTTCAATTCCTCTGCCCCTCTCAGAGAGCCCAGCAAGCTACTGAGAGTATCTCGCCTGCACGGCAAAGCCTGGCAAGCTACCCGTGTCATATTCGATATGCCAAACATAGTAACAACAACAAGTCTCACAATGGAGACGTTACTGGGCCCGCTTGAGAAAATTGATGAGCAATGGGAGGACAGTGCTACAGTGCTACAACAACCCTTTTCAATCTCAAAGTAAACATGCGCATCCACTAGATTATAGGAGCACATAGAGTAAGGGATAATATTATTATTATCACTCATCCCCCTCCTTTATTCCCAGACTCCCCCCACAGTGTCACTGGTGGTCACTGGCCCCTCTTCCAGACGTTTCTGTCACACTTGAGACTTCCCCTACTTCCGAGCAGACAGAGAGCACCAGGCGTTCTGTTCCAGCACTTGCCTTTCCACTAAATGCATCTTGGGCTCCGGTCCACCTTTCATCTAACCGGCCCAGCAGCATTCTCTGGCCGCCTCGTGGCCCCTGGTCGGCATTCATGCCGCATCACTATTGATTTCCCTGCCTTCTGCTTGAGTGAAGCTGATGTTCCATCCAGTTGCGTTGCCCCTCTCTCCAGGGCTTCAGCCCCTAGCTGTGACCACTTTGTCCAACTGGCCTGTGCTGGTGCCAGGCAGTGAGGGTGGATGGGCTTGAGGGCAGGCAGAAGTCCCCAGAGCTTCTGCGGTGTCTTCCCCTTCCCTGTGGTTTTGGTGCCACCCCCGGCAGTGCTCAGGGATTACTCCTGCCTCTGTCCTTAAGAATCACTCCTAGTGATGCTTGGGGGGGCCATAAGGAATGCCAGGGATCAAACCCGGGGTGACTGCATGCAAGACAAGCCCCCACTGTACTATCACTCCAGCCCCTTAGCCTCCTAACTTTAGAGGTTGAGGGGTACCCTTGTCTAGGTCCAGCCCCACTGGTCTGATTCCGTCACTCGGGAACTGATTCCTCATCTCTGGCAGGGTAGGAAACATTGGGCCTTATGGGCAACCCCATGTCTAGCTGGCAGATACCTGCCACCAACATCCATCCCTCCACCGTCCCTTCATGTTGTCCGGTGGGCCTTGCCCTCCCCAGACATCTGCCAGGGAGGGTCTGGCCCTTTCCATTGCGTCCAGACAGACGGTCCTTAGTTGTCCACCTTTCCACGTAAAAGTACCTCTGGCTTTCTTTTCCATGAAAGCAATGTCTGTATAGCAGAAGCTTTAGGAAGTACAAAAATGGGGTGGGGGCAGGAGAGAACCCTTCCTGACCCACCCCCCGCCCCCAGAGCTTCCTGCCGCCAAAAGCGTCTGTGTCTGCTGCTGCTGGCCGTCTCCCAAGCAGCCCCATGCACCAGGCTGACCCTGCTCTCTGCCCCCCGTCCCCCCGCAGGGAAGTCCCACCTGGCCATCGTGCAGAAGGTGAACAACGAGGGTGAGGGCGACCCCTTCTATGAAGTGCTGGGCCTGGTCACGCTGGAGGACGTCATTGAGGAGATCATCAAATCCGAGATCCTGGATGAGTCTGATATGTACAGTGAGTGCCCCCGTCCAGCTCAGGGCCTCTGTCCCCCACCCCACGCCTGTGTCCCTGGGGGGTTTGAAAGAAAGACCCATGCTGCTTCGGGTGCTGGTGGTCTGGGAGAGGAAGTGACCGTCCTCCCGGGGGTGGCGGGATGGGGGGGAGGGGGGGTCTCCCTGCGCGGGACCTGGCCCTCAGTCCCCAGACTTCATCTCTCGCAGCTGACAACCGGAGCCGGAAGCGGGTGTCCGAGAAGAACAAGCGCGACTTCTCGGCCTTCAAGGATGCAGACAACGAGCTCAAGGTGAAAATCTCCCCTCAGCTGCTCCTGGCTGCGCATCGCTTCCTGGCCACAGGTACGAGCGGAGAAGGGCGCCCCGCTTCCCTCCCACCGGTGGCTGTGGGTTCCACAGTATGCTGGCCTCCTCCCCCCTCCCGGTAAGGAGGCCCCCCGGGGGGATGTTCTGACTGTCTCCCCCGCAGCAGCCCAGGCTCCTCCTGCAGGACTTGTCCTCTGGCTCAGGGGTGTTCAGAGCTCTGTGCCAGCCCTCACTTTCACTGGTCCCTGCCAGGGGTACCTTGTGTGCACCATCATCCCTATAACCATGGGGTCCAAGGCCCAGCCCCCATGTGCTGGGTAGGGGGGGGCGAAGGGTGTCAGCCCGTGTTTGTGCTGCCCCACTGTGCAGACCCTGCATGTGGCAGGGCACAGGGGTGGGGCTGGCATCTTCCCACCCCCCGCCGGATCCGATGCAGTTCTCCCCTCTCCCCCGCAGAGGTGCCCCAGTTCAGCCCCTCTCTGATATCGGAGAAAATCCTGCTGCGGCTGCTCAAGTACCCAGACGTCATCCAGGAGCTCAAGTTCGATGACCACAACAAGCACTTCGTCCACCACTACCTGTACACGCGGAACAAGCCGGCCGACTACTTCATCCTCATTCTGCAGGTGGGCGCTGCTGCCCGACCAGGCTCCCCACCCCCCACATGCACCTACCCCACCCCTGGGCCCCTCCTCCCTCTGTGCTCGGGGCTCCTCTCCACTCTGGCCTGTCCCGTGGCGTTTCCTTCTCACCAGCACCCCCCTCACTGTGTCCTCTCAGGGCAAGGTGGAGGTGGAGGCGGGGAAGGAGAACATGAAGTTCGAAACGGGCGCCTTCTCCTACTACGGCACCATGGCTCTGACTGCGGCCCCCTCAGGTGAGTGGCTGCAGGGAGGAGATGCTGAACGTACCCCCCCCCCCCCCCCCCACCTAGGGCTGCCCACGTCGCACCTCTCCGGGCAGTTTGGTGGGGGGGTGGGAGGGGGCAGTGAGGTCCAGTCCTAATGGTGTGGAGGAGGCTGTGGGAAGGGTTCGGGGGCAGGGAGGTAGGTGGGGACACTCAGAGCCCATTGTGCGGGGTGGGGGCGAGAAGGCCAGGAGGACAGAGAGGAGGAAGGACTGGCCGGGCAGCTCCAGCAAGCCAGAGATCATAATGGGTGAAACCCCCTGCTGGGGTGAGGGGTGTAGCTCAGCGGTTAGAGCACTTGCCTGGCATGCGAGAGGTTCTAGTTTTGTGGTCCAGCATGGGGAAACAAAGGAAAAGAAAGATGAGTGGGAAACTTTTTTTTAATAGATTTTTTTTATTGATTCCCTGTGAGCGGGAAACTCTTAATGGCCTTTGAGTCACAGGACACCTGAGTGTGTTTGGGGCCAAGGAAGCAGTGGGCAGAGACTGAGAAGGTGCAGGGAGCCAGGGGCCACAGAGCTGTGCTTGTGGAGACTGGGTGGGGGTTCGGGCCGGGAGCTGAGGTGTCCAGTGCTCACGGCTGGGTTACTTATATTGCAGAGGGGCTTACCCTTTGGTCTGGGCTGCTGCCCTCTGGTCGGGTGTTCATTGGGACAGTGTGAAGGTACTTGGGGTCAAGAGCAGGACTGGCCTCCCTCCAGGAGAGTCTGGGAAGTCCCAGGAAGGTCATTTGGTCACCCTGGCGCCTTCTCTGCCGCCAGCTCTGTGTGCCGGGTGGACTCTGCTGGAGGCCCAGTCTCAGCTCCGCCTTCACTAGGGGGCTCTGCAGGGGACTGGAGTTGGGCTGTGGTGTGGCCACACAGTGAGGCGTGTGTGTGGTCCCTGGGCCCCAGTACGTGTCCAGGTCCCTGGACATGGGGATCCACGCAGGCCAGGGGCAGAGCAGTAGTCCAGCTGTGACAGTGCTAACCTTGCACGCAACCGACCTGGCTCGATCCCTGGAATCTCACGTGGTCCCCAAGCCCACCAGGAGTGATCCCTGAGCACAGCCAGGAGCAAGCTCTGAGCATTGCTGGGTGTGGCCTCCAAACCAAACAAAACAAAACAGAGGGGGTGAGGGGGGCATGGAGTCAGGACTCCTGAGCCGGGTTTGGGCCTGCCTGACGCCTCACCTCCCTCCCCTGCCCCTGCCTTGCACTCCTAGCATCCAGCTGGGGGCGGGGGAGTCTCGCTCATGTCACAGGCCTCAGGGGACAGTTCTCTGGCCTCTCCTCTGCTGCCTGGGTCAAGCCCTGGCCTGGTCCCTTCCCCGGAGTCCTTCAGTGGCCACTGGGAGAGAGACCACTTCTTGAGGGCTGTGGGGGCTCTTGGGGTACACACGTCCCACTTCGGAGCTGTGCCCCCAGCTCTGCTGCGCCTCCTCTGTGCCCCAGAAACCCTTCCTCCATCAGCTCGGCTTCCTTCTCCCGGTCCCGTGCCCCCTGTCCTGTCTCCCTGACCCCACCCGTCACTGACCTTTTCCTCTTTTGCTCCAGCGCCTTCAGCCCAGGCCGGGTGTCCGCCTGGCAAGCGGAACTCCCTGCTGTCCTGGCTCTCAGGTAACCCAGCACGGCTGGATGCGCCTGCACCGCCACCTGGCGCCTGAGCCCGTGCACTGCAGCCGCTCTGGCCTCCCCGTTCCTGTCCCCTGCTCCCTCGCGCACCTCCACCTGGGGGGGAGGCCGCTGGAGCAGTTGCCTTGCATGTGTGATCCCCAACACTAAAAAAAAAAGCAAAGCAAAAACAAGCCAGCGCCACTCACTCCCTCAGCTTGATCTGAGGCTTGGGGCTTGGGTGGCTTCACCCTGTGCCTGGGAAGCCCCCAGAAGGGACACTTGTACCTTCTGCTCCCCAGCAGGCGCTAGTGTAGCCACTCAGCGCCCAGAATGAGGTTCCTGTCTGGCCTTCAGCAGGATGCGGCACCTCTCAGGCTATTCAAAACACTCACCGCCTTCCCTCAGAGTCTTTGCTTGTCCCCGGCAGAGGGGCCGTGGGCTGCACGCTGCCTGTCAGACTGCGTCCCGGAAGCTGCCTTTCCTATCTGTCTTGATTTCCCGGTGTGAAACGTGGGAGCACTGCGAGTATCCACTGTTGGGATTGCTGGTGGCAGTGAGAACGAATATGAAATGTGTCATGGGAACTCAGTGATTCTCCCTCTTGTCTTTTTAAGCTTTTATTTTTGATTTTTGTTTAGTTTTACTTAGTTTTTGTTTCTTAGGCCACATCCAGCAATGCTCAGGGGTCACTCCTGGCTCTGCATTCAGGAATTACCCCTGGCATTGCTTGGGAACCAGATGAGGTGCAGGAATCAGTCCCCAGTTGGCTGCGTTCGAGGCAAATGCATTCCCCGCTGTGCTATCTCTCAGTCCCCTCAGTGGTTCCCTTTTTACTCAAAGCGACGAGGACGACGGCAACTGAGATGTGACATTGCAGTCAGACAGTGTTCAGGAAAGGGTCAGTCGTTGCTTCTGGCCTTTGCTGTGTGCCACTCAGAGTTCCGTCCCAGGAAGGGTACCGACTGTGTGGGCCAGCGGCGCTGGGCTTCACAGACTTGCAGAGGGAGGCAGATGGTGCTGGGTGTGGCAGTATTCCTGCCTGGGCTGTGAGCCCTAAGAGTGCTGGGTGTGGCGGTATTCCTGCCTGGGCTGTGAGCAGCATCAAGAGTGTCTCTGAGCAGAGGCTGGAGACACAGTGCAGAGATTCAGGGACTTGCCTTCCTGGGCTGCACCTGGGGCAATAGTTTGAATCCCTGTACTGTGTCCCGTCTTTTGAACTACCCAAGTGTGACTCCTGAGCACAGAGCCAGGTGTGGCCAACAGAAACATGTCTTTGAGCAGGTCTTGGGAGGTAGCTCAGAGAGAGACGCGAAGGGATGGAGCAGATAGATGCTTTGCCTGTCAGAGGTCTACGGCTTCATCCCCTCTACCACATGTCCCCTGATTCAAACTTCCTAATGCAAAACCTTTTTCTGTTCTGGAGCCAGAGATATATAGTAAAGGAGGTAAGGTGCTAACCTTGCACATAGCTGGCCCGTTTGGATCCCCGGAACCCCATATGATCCCCTGAGCACTGCCGGGAGGGATCCCTGAGCACAGAGTAGGGAATAAGCCCTGAGCAGCACTGGGTATGGCCCAAACCTACCCCTCCACCAAAAAAAAAAAAAAAAATCCCACCAAAATACTGAATATTTTATGTTTAAGATTATATTTCTTGGGCCACTTGCCTTGCGTGCATTGACCTGGGTTCAATCTCTAGCACCCCATGTGATCCCCTAAACCCCACCAGGAATAATCCCTGAGCTCAGAGCTAGGGAGATAACTCAAAGGACTGAGCATATGTTTTGCATGTGGGAAGATCAAGTTCAAGTCTTTGGCACCAAATGGGTCTCCTCAGCACTGCCAGGAATGACACCCCCCCATCCCCCAGCACTGAGCCAGAAGTAGCTCCTGAACACCGCAGGGTGTGGCCCACAAATTTTTAAAATTTGATATGTTCTATACTTTATGCTTTATTTTGTCCTTTACTCTTTTAGCATTGGAATTGCCTAGCCAAACCTCTCTCAGTTTCTGTTCAAACCTCTTTCAGTTTCTGTTATATCTGTTGTCTGGTTGTAATTCCAGAGGAACATTATTTAGAAAATTGGAACAATAGAAAGTCATAAAATATTAAGAAGCATCATAGTTCATCATTCATAGTTCATTCAGAAACAAACACTCCATATTTTAGTATGTTTATTTTCAGGATCTCTGTTGAATAATCACTGTCACTGTCTTCCCCTTGTTCATCAATTTTCTCGAGCAGGCTCAGTAACGTCTCCGTTGTGAGACTTTGTTGTTACTGTGTTTGGCATATCGAATACGTCACGGGGAGCTTACCAGGCTTTGCTCTGCGGGTGAGATGCTCTCGGTAGCTTGCCGGGCTCTCCAAGGGGGGAGGAGGCTGAATAATATGCCTAGTAATTTCTCTACAACTTAGAGGCATTACTTAAACTAGAATAACTATTATTTTTTCTTTTTTGGTCACACCTGGCAATGCTCAGGCATTACTCCTGACTCTGCACTCAGGAATTACTTCTGAGGGTACTTAGGGAACCAATGCTGGGGATCGAATCCAATTCGGCCGCGTGCAAGACCAAAGCCCTCCCCACTGGACTATCATTCCAGTTCCAAATTAGGATAACTTACACTTGCACATAACCTTCTAATATACTTCTGGAGCGATAGCACAGTGAGTAGGACATTTGCCTTGCATGCAGCCAACCTGGGTTCGATTTCTCCGTCCCTCTTGGAGAGCCCGGCAAGCTACTGAGAGTATCCCGCCCGCACGGCAAAGCCTGGCAAGCTACCCGTGACGTATTCAGTATACCAAAAACAGTAACAAGTCTCACAATGGAGACATTACTGGTGCCCACTCGAGCAAATCGATGAACAACGGGAGGACAGTGCTATAGTGCTACCAAGTCATAGAGTAGCCCGACTGTGTTTTCCTAGTTTTGTGAATGGAAGCTGAAAGAGTACTGCTTAATTCATTCTCACTTTGTGAAGCCTGTTCGTCATTCAGTCACCCAGATACAAAACATTTACTTTTCACTAGTTAATTGTTAGAATAGCTAAGTTGGTAGTTTTCTGAGTATATCAGCATATTCCATTTGCTGTTTGCTTATAATGAACCAGCATACCTCCACAATTTACTTCTTTATGCTTTTTACAAGCAACAATAATTTATGTCTTCTTCGTGTTCTCAAACACAAGAGCTGATGATGTTGGAGACTGTGTACCATCTCTTTTTCAAAATAACCAGTAGCCAGCACCTTCCTTGTCCACCCAGCAGAGGCCTGTGCTGCTCCCAGTGGCAGGAAGAAGTACTACCACCCCTGCCTTAGTTTTCACCTTTTTGTGAGGGGACTGGGAGCTAGAGCTCCTGGGCCTCTGGGTTTCAAGAGACCAGTTTTCTGCCACTGGTGCCACCCAGGAAAGCTAGGTGCAGAACCCATTTCCTTTTTTTTTCTTCCTTTTGCTACACCTGGCAGTGCTTAGGGATCATTCCTGGCTCTGCACTCGGGGAATCACTCCTGGTGGTGTTTGGGGGACCCTGAGTGGTGCCAGAGGTCAAACCCAGCTTGGCTGTGTGCATGGAAAGTACCTTCCCACTGTACTATTGCTCCCGTCCCAGTGAACCCACTTCTGACCTTCTTGCGCCTTCTAAGGTCTGCTCAGGGCGTTGTGCTGGTGGGCGGGTCTTCCTGGTCTTCCCTTTAGTATTGGAAACGCCATGGTCCGCATCCTGGCAGTTACTGAGACAGGCTGTGTTGTTGTCTCCCATGGGAGGGGTTGCTCTGACTAGGTGGGCTGGCAGGTGTCTTCCTGCATCTATGGGGTCTTTGGTTCTTGTTTTCTGCTTTCTTCCGGGTTGACTGTTGTGCTGAGTGTGACGCGCCCTTTGGTGAGCGAGTGAGCCCAGCCCTTGCGCTGGCGCGGCCTCCCCCTTCCTGGTGGGGGTGCTGCCTCCCCGGGGGACATCCTTGGGACTTGGTCAGACCCAAGGCTCGGTGCCTGACAGCCCTCTCTCCCCACAGACCGCTCCCCGTCCCACACCACCCCGCTCAGCCGGTCCGCCTCCCTCAGTTACCCGGACCGCACAGACATCTCCAGCCCAGTTCCCCTGGCAGGCAGCAGCAACCAGTTTGGCAGCTCCATCCTGGGCCAGTACATCTCTGACTTCAGTGTCCGGGCGCTTATGGATCTCCAGTACATCAAGGTGAGCCGCCTTCTGGGTGCTGCCGCTTGCATATGTCACTCAGCAGTCGGCAGCTTCTTTCTGGCACCCTCAGCCCGGTGACCTGGCAGGCTCAGACCTGAGCCTTGTGTCCTTGTTCCTCTTCTGTGTTTTGTCTCTCTCTTTGGGGAGGGGGGTGGGAGGTGGGGGTTGTATCCTGTGCTACTCAGGAGCTCTCCTAGCTTGGTACGTGAGGGCTATTTGTGGCAGTGCTGCAGAGGGAGCCCAGACCTTCAGCCTCCTCTGAGCTGTCTGCTGGCTTCTGCATCTTTCTCCTCCTTGCTCCTGAGACCTCCCACCCCCTCTGGATCTGCAACCTTCAGCCTGCCTGTGACCCTCCATCCTCGGGGTGCAGGCTGGGGTTTGCCGCCCAGGCCCATGCTTAGCCTCCTCCTGTCCTCCGGCAGATCACCCGGCAGCAGTACCAGAACGGGCTGCTGGCCTCCCGCATGGAGAACTGTCCTCAGCTGCCCCTGGACGGCTGCACCATTTGCACAGAGAACATGGCTGAGAAGTCTGAGCTGCCCGTGGTGGACGAGACCACGGTTCTTCTCAACGAGCGCAACTCCTTGCTACACAAAGCTTCCCACGAGAGCACCATCTGACAGGAGGGCCCGGGGTCCCCCGCCCACCCTGCGGGGGCCTCCCCAGTGGGCCCGTCTGAAGATAGGGAGCCTGAGAGGCGAGAAGGGGATGCAGACCGCCCCTCTGACGTGGAGGCCAAGGGCCTTCATCCGGCAGGGGGTCTGGCCTCTGACAGGGACCTCTGAGCCGTGTACTTGGAAGCGGCGCCACCTGGACTGATGGGTGGGCTTGGGGCCGGCTGCCATGAGCAAGGCTGGCTTTTTTTTTTTTTTTTTACAGAATTTCTAAACTAGGCTCATTGCTCCTTTTTTTAGATATCATTGGGGAAGGGAACAGGGAAGGGAAGACAGGGTTAAGGAACTTTATTTTGAAGAGAAAGACTTTTTTTTAAAAAAACAAAACAAAACTGTACAAGGGGGTTGCTTTCTCACCCTGGAAATGATAGCCATAATATCCCGGCCACGACCTCTCTGTCCCTGGCTCAGGGCCCCCACTCCTCTTGCTTCGCCCAGAGGCCTGCAGGGGTAGCACCCCCCCTCGGGAGAATGTTCTTCCGAGCAGGTGAAGAACTGAACAGCGCCGAGAACAGCCACCGAGGCTCAATGAGGCTGGTCTTGCCATCGCCTGGCCCGCGGGGTTCTAAGCAACGGGTGCCCAGAGCGCAAGTGGTGCCTGTCCTGTTCGTCTCACCAGTCACTGGATCTGGCCACTGACTAGGACCCTGGGCTGTCCACGGGCTGGCTGGGAGGTGGGGCTGGACTGAGACTCCATCCTGCATCCCTCGTAGTTGGCCTCAATCCTGCCCCCTAGGACAACTCTTTTCTGTAACAGGACTGACTCAAAGTGTTAGGTGGGGGTCTCAGACCTTCAAGATTGCCCCCTCCCCCACACACACACTCCAGCCCCCCCAGGCCCTGCACTTGCTCTTACCAAAGGTTCTTCCTGCCTGGGTTGGGTGTAGGGGTGGGGTGGGAGGGTACGTGCATTGGAGGTGATTGAACCAGGTGGTTCCAGGGCAGAATACGCTTCTGGGCACCTGTGTGGTCAGCAATCAGCACCGCACAGTGAAAGCCAGGTCTCGCCGCTAAACTATGAAGTCCTCTCTGGACTTTTTACGTAAGAGTTCAAAGCCCACATCTCGGGGCTCATGGGCTGGAGGACATGTGGGAAACCCACCCAGGCAGCTTCTCCAGGCCCTCTGCTCCGTGACAGAGGCCACCCTGATGTGCTCACTCAGAGCCCAGCCGATGTCTCCCACCCAGGGGACCCCGCGTCTGTGTGATCCTCGCGTGAAACCATCATCCTGGCTTCTGTTGGAGTTAGTGGTCCTCCAGGGACCCAGCTTTACAGGAAATTCCCTCCCACCCCCCAGCGCCTTTTCCCAGCCTCGACCAGGGCCCACTGCCAATTTCCAGGCATCTTCTTCCCGGGGAGCCAGGTGGCAGGGGAAGTGGGTGCTTGGGCCCAGGCGAGAGAGACTGGGCCGGCCTTCCCACCGAGTATTATTTATTCACTCCTGTCTTCGACCGTGCCACACCTGGCCCTCGCTGACCTCTGCTCCCAAGACCTACGAATCCTGACTCAGGGCCCCGAGACTTGCCTCGTGCCAGGTGCACTGCTGCCTGGTGAGTCCCAGGTCTTCCCTGGTCTGAGTCTGGCCTAGAAACTGGTGACCTCGGTAGTTTCTTAACCAAAGGGAAAAGGGACAGCAGCCCTTAGCTCCCGGTGTGGGGCAACCCCTTCACTTTCTGAATCTGCCGGAGGCTGGCCTGTCTGGTTCCTGAGAGACAACCATGCCACGCGCAGCATCCCACGTTGGCCCAGACCCAATGAGTGTATGCAAAGGTAGGGGAGCGAGCAAGTGCGCACACTGCCAAGCTACCTCTTTGCACACACAGTGAATACCAACACACAGTGAGATCCCCCTCCTCGCCACCCACTCTGTCCCTTCCTCTTTTTATAATCACTTCTTGCAGAGGGTCCTAATTTTTCCCAAATATTACCGGTCCGATGACTTCCTCCTCCCAGTGCAATTTTTCACTTCCTTTTTTCCAACCTCTGGTTCCTGGGCTGAGCCACACCCTGGGACCCGACACCCCCGCATGTCCTCCCGGGTCTGGGAGACCTTCACAAAGGGCCTCCAGATGGGTCGGTGAGTCACAGCCGCCACAGTGGAAAACTCCTATTTATTTTGCATAAGATTTTAATTTGTATATTTTTGTGATTTATTTTGGCATTGTTATAAGTTTGACTCTCGGGGAGTTTTGTTGTTATGACTCTTGTGTCTTTTGTCACAAAACAATGATAATATTTGCTAAACAATATATGGAATTTATTTTTGATTGGTAATAAAACAATGAAATATGTGTAAATGTCGGTGAGTCTACAGTGTTCCTATCTGAATATGTCAGTAGTGGACCATTTTTGGGGGTGGGGCCTCACCCGGGCGTGCTCAAGACTTACTCCTGGCTCTGCACTCAGGAATCACTCCTGGTGAAGGTCAGGGTACCATGCGAGTGCTGGGAATCGGGCCTGGATCAGCCATGTACAAGGCCAGTCCCTACCCGCTGTACTCTCTGGCCACAGGACCTTGCGGAGAGTTCGAGCTCATGCTTGTGCTTGGCTGTCATCTGTGACAGCCAGGGGTGGGTCCCTGTGGGATTGTTTAGTGAGAGGGAAACAAATCAATCCTATGAAATAGACTGTCAGCAGAGGGAGAGTTCCAGCTTTGGCTGGCCAGAGCAGGCAGCAGGTAGCTCCTGTGTGACTGAGCACAGGCGTAGTGAGTCTGACTCCCTGCACTGCCTGCCTACCCCGCCCCGCCCGAACATCACTGGCTTGGCCCGCCTGGCCCCCAGACCTCGCCCAGCCTCAGCATGATCCCATGGTCAGGCCCGAGCAGGACCTCCTCAGGCTAGCACTGCCAGGCTCATCAGCGCCAGGCATGACCTCAAGCCTTCTGAGCTCCACTGAGGTGACCCCTATAAAATGGAAACAAAAGCACCCTTGGGAGACTTCTGAACAGACACCAGCGGGTCTCCTGGCTGCACATTCAGATGAGCAAGTTGCCCTCCTTCCTGAGCATTGACAAGAAAGGAGCGTGCTGTGAGTCCGACTGACTGTTTTATAACTGCAGTTGTCTATTTTTAGCCCTGCCCAACTCCCCCACCCCCCACCTTCCTTGTTACAGATGCTGTGATAACCATGGATTAGATATCCCTGGCTGAGATGCTTGCACTGTTTAGTGGTGCTCAGCTGCAGTGCTCAATGAGGTTCAACTCCTTTTAGTTGTGCTTGCATGGGTGTGGGAGTGTGCAGTTCCTCAGTTATGTTTTAGTGCTCATGAGAGACAGTGGTGTGCTCACAGAGGTCCTTGCTAGGGGTTGTCCTTCTTGGCTCAGGTGCTGGCTTGCACATCTTTTAGTTGGAAGACTTTGTAGTCTCTTTCATCTGTCATGCTGACACACACCTGGTTGTGGTACAACTAGAAGTCACCTGCAGCTGCCAGGATCATTGGGAGCTGTCAGGATCAACACTCGGTGCATGTGGGGTGCCAGGGGTTTGAACTTGTGACGCATGCTTCCTTACAAGGCACATGGTGCTGTAAGCTCTAAGCTGCTATTCCTCCAGGCCAGGCCCCTGAGAGGACGGTTGTCCATATTTCTCTGCTGGTGGTGTTTCACAGTTGGGTGCTCAGCTCTTGACAAGTGCATCTGAGAGTTACATCTTTGCAGTGGAAGTTTCACTGCTGAAGAATCTGGTGTTGCCCAGGGTGCCAGGCTGTGTAGACATTTGGTGAGCCAGGGGCAGGGGCTCAAGCTCGGGTTTAACAGCAGAGAAACTCAGGACAACGTTTTAAAAAAGGGAGGCTCCTAAGGAAGCAGAAAGGAAAAAAAGAACTTTCCAGATAAATAATAAATGTGAATACTCACATGTAGGAGGGTTAGTGTAACACTCCATGCCTGGGGCACCAACCCCTGAGATGAAGAGGACAGTTCATGAGGGGTGGGGACATGACTTAAAAGGCCTTGGCATTGCATGGTTCCCCAAGAAACCCTAGGGGTAACCCATAAGCTCATAGCTGGGGGTAGCTCAGAAATTTAAAAATAAGCTTTCCCCTTCTGGAGAAACCTCTCTTCTCTCTCAAACTCCTCTCTCTTTCTCGCTCGCTCTCTCCCCTCACATTTCTCTAAGTAAATGTCTCTAAATGAAACTATTTTGCTTCACTAATAAGAGTTTAAAAGGACATTTCATAAGGACCTTTTGACTTGCTCTCTTCTCTGCCTGGGATATTCTGAAAGATTGGTGAAATACACTATTTGTGAGGTTCATCTCTTTATTTTATTTAAACCTCTGTTTAAATATCACTTCTTTCGAGAAGCCTTTCACAATAACCTGGGCCGTCACATCCTTTCCCAGTGGCCAGCTCCTGAATGTTTTTCCCTTTCGTCACATTTGGTGGTACAAGGGGCTACCGGCAGCTGTGTGGTGCTGGGGGTTGAAACTGAGGGTGCGTGCAGGGTATGTGCTCTAGCTCATTGACAGTTTTTTTTTTTTTTTTTTTTTTTTTTTTTTTGCTTTTTGGCAAAAAAAACCCCTGGCGATGCACAGGGGTTACTCCTGGCTCTGCGCTCAGGAGTTACTCCTAGTGGTGCTCAGGATGCACCATATGGGATGCTGGGAATCGAACCCGGGTCGGCCACGTGCAAGGCAAACGCCCTACCCGCTGTGCTATTGCTCCAGCCCCTTGACTGTCTTTCTGACCCGTCTCCTTTATCTTGCCTTGTATTTCTTCATTGCACTTGGGATGTTAAAATACGCATTTCTACATTTTGTTTGTTTTTGTGTGTTTGGGGTAATGTACTCAGTACAGTACTCAGGGGCTATTCCTGGTTTGTTGCTCAGGGCTCTCTCCCTGCTATGATTGGAGTACCACGTGGTGCTGGCAATGGAACTCAGGCCTTCCGCATGCAAAGCAAAGGGCCCAGCCCAAGACTTATATTTCTGTTGTCTTTGTGTTAGATCTGAAGCTCCAGGAAGACAGGGACTTTGTTCCCGTTAGTTGCAGCACGGAAACAGTTCCTAATACAGTGTAGGGACACAGTGTGGGAAATACTTGTCGAACGAATGAATGGACTGGTCTTAAGTACTGGGTGCCTTTTTGGCAGGGGTGAGGGTCAGGCACAGAGGATAGAACTTCCATAACCTTGACCCAAGCTGGTCACGATGATCTAGGTAGGCAGCTGGAAGAATTAAGAATTAGAACATGCAGACTTCAGGACCTAGAGAGAGACAGCACAGGAGCTAAGGTGCTTGTCCTGTGTGCAAGTGATCAGTATTCAATTTCCAGCACCACATGTAGTTCTTTGAGCTCGGCCAGGAGTGATCCCTGAGCACCATTGGGTGTGACTGCCTCATAAAACTAGAATTTTTCAACTTCAGAGATAAACTAATACTAGTCAGTGAAGTCACATGCAAGTTATGGGTTAAGGGGGTCAAAGAGATAGTACAGGGTAGGGCACTTGTCTGATCACGCAGCTGACCCAGATTCAATCTCTGGCACCACATATGGTCCCCTGACCTCTGCCAAGAGTGATTGCTGAGCACAGAGCCAGGAGTAAGCACTAAGCATCGCTGGGTATGGGACACCTCCCCCACCTCTTACCCCTCACCTCCCCACCAAATAAACAAGTTATGGATTAAAAACTCAGGACTGGGAGATGATTCAGAGGCTAAAATGAAACCTTGCGGGCCTGAGACCATGGGTTTGATCCCTGGGGCCCCTGCCATGTGAGTGTGAGTCCGGGGTCTGTGGACACAGCCTGCTGTCTGATCCGTAGTGGCTCTGCAGAGAGAGCACCACAATCAAAGTTGCATGAGCACCTTGGCTGTGAGTGCCAACCAGTGTAAAGCAGAACATGCACAAGACCAAAACTAAAGGATGTGATTTCTGGTGAGCACTGCAGCTGAGTTTGGGAGCACCCCTGCCTGAAGCGTGACTCCTGGTGAGTATTGCAACTAAAATGTGAGTGAGTTTTGGGGCCGGAGTGATAGTGTAGCAGGTAGGGTGTTTGCCTTGCATGCAGCTGACCTGGGTTTGATCCTAGTCATCCCATATGGTCCCCAGAGTACTGCCAGGGGTGATTCCTGAGTGCAGAGCCAGGAGTAACCCCTGAGCATCGTGGGGTATGACCCAAAAAGACCAAAAAAAAAAGTGAGTTTTGCAATCTAGCATGTGTGTAACCTCTGACCAGGGAAATATCAAAAGACAAAAGGAGTTGGGGGGATAAAGTTCAAAAGTAAGTATTTAGATAAACTATGAAAATGTCTGGTAAAAAGTGACCAGTAAGCAAGATAATCCAGGGAGGGCTGGAGAGATAGTACAGGCATTGAGGCTCTTGCCTTATCAGAGGCCGACCCCAGTTTGATCTTCAGCACCACATATGGCCCCTAAACCCTGCCAGGAGTAAGCCCTGAGCATAGCTGGGTTGGCCCAAACTCTGCCTCCCAAATAATAAATAATAAATGGACTGTAAGGTCAAGTCATAATTATCTGCCATTGATTCTATGACTGTAGGGGGTGTGGGATATATCATGATCCAGAGCCAAGGAAGAAAGAAGCAAATAGGTATTGTTGAGGTTTAACAGAACCACTCCATGAGCAACTTTGTGTATTTACAGTTTTGGGGTCACACACTGGGATTTCCCTTGGGCTAATCCTAGTTTTCCTAGTTTTGTGCTCAGGATCACATGGTGCCAGGGATGGAACCAAGGTTTCCTGCATGCAAAGCACGCACTCAGGCCTCTGGCCATTTTCCCAGCCAACACCATGGACAGTTTTTTATGTTTTGGGGTATTGGCTCAGTGAACATTTCTGTTTCCAAATGTGACCCAATTGCTCTCTTTTCCTAAAGTAAAACAACAAAAACAAAACAGTGTTATAATTTTCCCTGAGACCAAGAAGAAAGAAGCGTGTGTAAAGCCAGAGCCCTGTCTAAATCCATCAGGAGCTTTTCTTGCTTTTCTTCTGGAACTGCTCTTTGCTGGTTAATAACTTCACAGGCACATGACTCATTCATCCATTTTATCGCAAGGTCAGCGATAGAACTCAGCCCATAGAAGAATGAAGCAAGATGTGTGTGTGGGGGGGGGGGGGGCGGGATCCATTATTTATTTTCCTCAAAGGAAGCACTCTGATCCAGTGGAAAGGCTAGTATCAGTATCGCTTCTGCTGGTAGCTTTCTATAATCTGCAAGTGAGGCAGATTATCCAGAGGGCAGAGTACCATTTGGACAATGAAATCTGGAAGGCAGGGGATGCACTTGACCCAGCCATAGTGTTGAATTTACAATGCAAAAGACACAATTGCCTTTTTTTTTTTTTTTTGCTTTTTTTGGGTAACACCCAGCGATGCACAGGGGATACTCCTGGCTCTGCACTCAGGAATTACTCCTGGTGGTGTGCAGGGGACCATATAGGGTGCTGGGGATCAAACCCGGGTTGGCTGTGTGCAAGGAAAATGCCCTACCCGCTGTGCTATCGCTCCAGCCCCACAATTGCCATTTTTTAGGGCGGTCTTTCAAAGGGCTGGTATGCATGCCTTACACAGGGAAGGCCTCAACTACCCTTTCAGTAATGTGTTGGGAGTAACCCTTGGGCCCTTGGACATGGCAGGGAGTGAATGGACAAAAAGCAGCTATTATTATTTTGGTTGGGCCACACCTCCGGTGCTCAAATCTTGCTCCTGGCTCTGCATTCAGGGATCACTCCTGGTGGTGCTGGGGAAAAGTGCCTGGGATCGAACCCAGTTTGTCTACAATACAAGGCAATGCCTTTCATATCTACTGTACTGCCTCACTGGCCTTACAAATAAATTTTAATATGAAATTTCTTCTGTTCTTTTGTTATAGATGTATTCCATAGCACTGCACGATAGCGCTATCCTCCTGCTGTTCATCGATTTGCTCGAGCTAGCCCAGTAATGTCTCCATCGTGAGACTTGTTGTTACTGTGTTTGGCATATTGAATACATCACAGGTAGCTTGCCAGGCTTTGCTGAGATGGGGAGATACTCTCGGTAGCTTACTCGGCTCTCCGAGAGGGGCGGAAGAATTGAACCCGGCTCAGCCAACCGGCTGCATGCAAGGCAAACGCCCTACCGCTGTGCTATCGCTCCAGCCCAATGGATTCCATATTTTACTTAATTGTAACCACAGAGCATATATTGTTAATATTATTTTCATGACATAGCAAATGGGTTGCCATAGAACTTTTTGTTTTTGAGCTACACCTTGAGTTGCTCAGAGTTTCTTTGCATTCAGAGATCATTCTTGGTGATTGTGGGGTGCTGGGGCTCAAACCCCAGTTGCCCACGTGCAAGGAAAGTGCCCTACCTGGTGCACTGTCTCTCAGGCCCCTAGAGAACTCTTTATGAGAGTCATTTAAATGAGAAGTTAATTATTTTCTTTGAAAATCTACTTAGAAAATTTGAAGATACTTAAGCTTCAGGCAATATTTATATAGGAGGATTCCGGATACTTTTAGTAGTTTACAGGATAAACAGGTTAGAGGGTGTTAGGTCAACAGGTGTCTAAAACGTGTCTTCTAAGTCCTTCCTCTTAAAACAACTTGTAACACGTCTTAGCCCCCGCGGAACATTATCTTTAGAGGTGCTGAAAATGAACCCAAGGTTCCTTTGTTTGGGGACCACACCCATGGCGCTTGGGGGACCATTTAGTTCTGGGAATCCAGCTCAGCCTCTTGGCAGCTCAGCGGGTTATTCTGCAGGTAAAAGAAAAGGCAAGCAGCTGGGCGGCTGTTTGAGAGATCCAGTTTGCCGCTCTTCCCTGCAGTCAGAGATACTCATTGTCCGGGCAAGGCGGTTCCCATAAAAGCGCAAGCGAGACTTATCTTTTGTCTCCACCAATTTGTTAGGAAGTCCTGTTCCTTCAGTTAGGGTCATATCAGGTAGCCCTGTTCCTGGAGGGCCATAGTTTCAAACACGTCTGCAATCCATCTTAAGTTCCCGCGGCCCAATCACCACCGGGCTCCTCCTTCAGCCCTGCGGGGAGAACAGCGCATCCCCCAAACACCGACCGCTCCCCGCTTTGCAACTTCGGGCTCGCCCGGTGCCCTACTTCCACCGCGGCCCGGGCCTTTTGCCGAGCACGAGCCTGGCCTCCTTCCTGGCCCGAGGAGACGGCGGCTCCGCGTCCTCCGGGACCCGCCGCCCCGACCTTGGGAGCCCGGGCCTAGCCAGCCGGGCTTAAGGCCCACGCCCCCACCCCCGGCCCGCCCCGGGCTCGAGCTCCCGCTTGTTTACTCCCCGGCGCAGCCTAGTCCGAGCCTGGGGCCCGCCCCCGCCCGCCGCCTATTGGCGGAGGCGCGGCGGGGGCCCGGCCCGATTGGCCCGCGGGGAGCGGAGGGTAGGCTGCGCGGGAGGCCGAGAGGGGGCAGCGGGCGATGGCGGCGGCGGCTCGGCTAGGCTGGTGGCTCGCCGCGCTCTGCTGGGGCAGCGCCGCGGGGGAGGCGGCGCCAGGGCCGCGAGTGCTGGGCGTCTGCCTGGAGGAGGACGGCGCCGCCGCGGCCGGGTGGGCGCGCGCCGGGGACGGCCCGGACGCGCCCGCGGCGGCCGCCTTCCGCCTGCGCCTCTGGGGCACGGGCTTCGCCAACAGCTCCTGGTCCTGGGTGGCCCCCGAGGGGGCGGGCTGCCCCGGGGGCGGGCCGGCCGCGGCGCCCGCGGAGGTCGCGGCGCCCGCGGGCGAGTGGCGCGCGCTGCTGCGCCTGCGCGTCGCGGCCGAGCGCCCGCACTGGGCGCTGCTGGCGGCGCGCGTGGAGCCCGCCGAGGAGGCGGCGCCGCCCTGGGCGCTGGGCCTGGGGGCGGCGGGGCTGCTGGCGCTGGCGGCGCTGGCGCGGGGCCTGCAGCTGAGCGCGCTGGCGCTGGCGCCCGCCGAGGTGCAGGTGCTGCGCGAGAACGGCTCGGAGGCGGAGCGCGCGGCGGCGCGGCGCCTGGAGCCCGGCCGGCGCTGGGCGAGCTGCGCCCTGAGCGCGCTGCTGCTGCTGGCGAGCCTGGCGCAGGCGGCGCTGGCCGTGCTGCTCTACCGCGCCGCGGGCCAGCGCATCGTGCCCGCCGTGCTGGGCAGCGCGGGGCTCGCCTTCCTGGTGGGCGAGGTGGTGCCGGCCGCCGTGAGCGGGCGGTGGACGCTGGCGCTGGCGCCGCGCGCGCTGGCGCTGAGCCGCCTGGCGGTGCTGCTCACCCTGCCCGTGGCGCTGCCCGTGGGGCAGCTGCTGGAGCTGGCGGCGCGGCCCGGGCGGCTGCGCGAGCGGGTGCTGGAGCTGGCGCGCGGCGGCGGCGACCCCTACAGCGACCTCAGCAAGGGCGTGCTGCGCTGCCGCACGGTGGAGGACGTGCTCACGCCGCTGCAGGACTGCTTCATGCTGGACGCCGGCGCCGTGCTGGACTTCGGCGTCCTCGCCAGCATCATGCAGAGCGGGCACACGCGCATCCCGGTGTACGAGGAGGAGCGCTCCAACATCGTGGACATGCTCTACCTCAAGGACCTGGCCTTCGTGGACCCCGAGGATTGCACGCCCCTCAGCACCATCACGCGCTTCTACAACCACCCGCTCCACTTCGTGTTCAACGACACCAAGCTGGACGCCGTCCTGGAGGAGTTCAAACGAGGTAAGGGCTGGCCGGGAATGGCAGAAGGGACGCCCGCGACCTCGGGGGAACGGGGCTGGGAGCTTCCTGGCAGCCCGAGGAAAGTGAGCCTCCAGGTTCCCATGTCAAAGACCTTTGACGTGATGGGCCTTTTGAAATGTCAGTTAAAGGCCACGGATCAGAGGGATCGATGATGCGGACTGCAGCGCCCCTTCCAACCCTCTCCCTGTTTCCCTGGTGGGCCTCGCTGTCTCAGAAGGCCAGTCAGCTTGACCACAGCCCAGCCCCTTCTCTCCATGACTGGTCTTGGTCGGGTTTTGTTGCTTTGGCTTGTAGCAGGTCCAAAATCTTGAATAGAGACCAACAAGACAAGAGGATCGGATCGATCCCCAGTAATGGGTGCTAGCATCTACATCGATGTCAAGTAACCTTGGCCTGGGATATTTCCAGGCCTCTTCTCCACTGTTTTGGTTTCCTTTGTTGTAACTGTAGTTTGGGCAGCGAGGTTACAATAGTGTTAATCTTTGAGGCTTTGATGTCAACCCAAGGTTACTGTTGCAGGTTCACAGTCACTAGAGCTTAGGGCATGGCTCTGCTGGGCGCTGTGGGGCTTCTCTCCTGATAATGCTGAAGAGAAAGGTTCGCACATGATGTTTGCAGGTGTGGGGGAAGGAGTGAGCGGCTGCTTTGATTTCCCCAAAGGCAGTTTCACAGAGGCTGATGTAGTCTCTTTTCTGGTGTCTTTTTTTCTTCTTCTTCTTTTTAACCCCTATCAACTCCACTTTCTTGCCTTCACCGGTCTTGGTTCTCTGAGCAACCTTAGGTTGCACGCAGGTCAGCACCAAACCGTCCCAAGACAGTGGTGCTGATGCATCTGCTGCCGTCCATGTTGCTGCCTGGGAATGTGCCCCTGTGTGTAGCTGCTCCCCAGGACCTTGCTTTGCACCCCGAACTTCTGCACAGAGGGGAAGATGCCCAAGTCTCTGGGTGGACTTGGCTAAAGAGTGTATGAGTGAGACCTCCAAGAGAGCAGAGCCCCAGGAATGCCAGCCGGGAGGGTCCCTGTGAGCCCCTGGACTGTCAGGGTCACGAGGCAAGGCTTTGCTTAGTGCTCCACCTGTTCTCCTGCACTTGCTTTGACATGCACGATGGGCCTTAATCCTTGGAAGATCAGGGAAGCCCGAAGGTAAGGTGCCTGGATGGCATCTCTGGCCGCATTGCTAGACACTCTCAGTGCTCCCGGCAGCTTCCTCAGGGGAACCTCCTAGTGGCCTCTGTGATGGTGACTTTGCAGTCTGGGGTCAGAGGGCGAGGGGTCCAACCCAGCCTGCTGCTGCCTGGCTTGTGATGGTGGCGGGGCCAACGGCGCATAGAAGCCTGGACACAAGAGTGTTTGAAGGTGTTTTGTGAGGATTAGCGGAAGACCAGTGAGGAGGAGGTCTAAGGGAGCTGGGTTCCTGGAGACAGTGCTCCGGTAAGGAAAGGAAAAGGCTCTTTAGGTGAGTCTGCGCCACTGGACTTGGGCTGTGGGTAGCCCTGGAGACACTGGCATAAATGGCAAGCGAAAGCTGGCGGCAGAGAGAGGGTTGCACATGGGAGCCCCCTTCTGTCGTGAGAGAAGAGGGTTCTTGCTTCAGTCCGTCAGATCCTGCACCCCAGCCTCAGGCAGATTCCTCCGGCTCTCTGAGCGGACTTGGGTTGCACGTCAGCACTAGGCGCGCGTTCAGCTGAAGGAGGAATCGGGTGGTTGAGCTCTCCAGTCTCTGCTTTCTCTTCAACCAGCTGAGTTCTGGCCCATGTCTGTCAGGAGCCACAGCATTGCCTCTGCTGAGCTGCCAGGCGCGTTCACACGCTGTTTCCCTCATGGGCCCATTGGTTAAAAATTGGAGCCCGAAAACTAAAATAGAAACTCAGCTGGGTTTTCAGAGCACCTTGTCAGGGGGTCTGTGGCACCTGTTGCAAGTGCAGTTACTCCTCTCAGAGAGTGAGCCAAGGGATGCCTCGTTTTCCGAGGCTCCCTTTATGGAAGAAAAACCAACCGTGTGCAGTTGGGGTATACTTGTTGTCAAGTAAAGGTTGCTTTTTGGACAAGCACTGAGTATTTTTTTTCTCTGAAATGGGGGGCAATAGGTCAGATAAGATTGGGAACCACTGCTTTAAAGAGTCTTGCTTGAGGGACTGGAGAGACAGTGAGTCAAAGAAGTGCTTTGCATGTCAGAGAGCTGGGTTCTATCCCCAGCACCTTGCAGCACCCCCAGCATAGAGTCTGGTATGGCCCCCAGGCACAAGACTAAATTGTTGCTCTTTTTTTTTTTTTGCCTTGGATCAACTCCCCAGACTCTACTTTCTCCTTTTGTTCTGGGGGGCAGGTTGCAGAGAAGCCATGCCCGTTCTCTGGGCACTAGAGTGTGAGAGGAGTTGGTCCATGCTGGCACCCTCCTGGGCTGGGCGCAGAGAGCAGGGTTCCTGGGCACTGTGGCTTCCCAACACCCCTCCTGGTGCCCAAATCAGCACCACCTGGAGCATACCCTTTCTAAGATGTCGTTGCTTTCTAGCTTCCGCTCTCCTCACCAGTAGGAAGCACCCATGAGCAGAGAGGACAGAGGGCCACTTGGGCCCCCAGACCGTGGGCTCCGATGGGCCAGTTTCCCCTGTGCCCTGTGAGTCCCTCCGAGTCGACACTGTTCTAAGTCTCCTGCATTTCTGCAGCTGGTGCCCTCACATCTGCTGGCCTGCTTTGCTTTAGGCTGTGGGGGGTATGTGCTTGCCTAGACCATTGGTTTTCATTCTTTGGCCCATGGACTGGTGCTTGTCCCCAGCCTGTGAAAAGGTCATTGTTCTGAAACTACTACATTTCTCAACCCCTGGTCTTTGGGCCGATGGTGTGGCCCACTAGTGTGAAAAGGTGCAACACTGGGACTAATACCAGCGCTGCCCTGGCCAGATAGGTGGCCACACTCCTGGTAGCTCCTTTCCATGGGAGAGTAACGAGGCTCATCTGCACAGCCAGCTGGAGTCTTTGTCGGATCCTGGAGTGTCCTGCTTGGTGGCCACTCTGTGTAGGACCGGCTTGAGGAAGGTGAGTGAGCCTGTGATGGCTGTGTGACCTGAATGTCCCCCGCCCCCAGGGAAGTCCCACCTGGCCATCGTGCAAAAGGTGAACAACGAGGGTGAGGGCGACCCCTTCTATGAGGTACTGGGCCTGGTCACACTGGAGGATGTCATTGAAGAAGTCATCAAGTCAGAGATCCTGGATGAGTCTGAAGATTACCGTGAGTTAGGCTTACAGCATGTGCTGTTGGGGGTGGGGGTGGGGGTCGAGGGGCTGCCAGCTTTGAGTGCCAGGACCGTCCTGGGCCAGAGGGCCCTAGTACCTACCTAGCACCCCCCTGGCATCCACTCGGGACTCTCAGCAGCATCTGTTTTGGAAGGACCCCTCCCTCCGCAGTGATAAATGGGGTGAGAGCCTGACAGACTGAGTATATGCTTCCAGCCCCGGGGACCAGTCTGTCGCCCCCAACTCCCCATCCACTCTCCCTTGGCATTCTTGCCTTCTCACCTCTGTCACTGTGGGAATTCCTCAGAGAACTCCTCCCTCTCCATCACTTCCTCCCTCTTCCTCCTTTTTCCTTATTCCTTCTTCTTTCCTCTGGCCTCATCTGAGGGTGCTCAGGGCTTACTCCCAGCTCTGTGCCCAGAGATCATTCCTGGAGGGGCTTGGGAGAGCATATGGGGTGACAGGGTGGGGGGTGGGGGCGTCAAACCTGACTCAGCCCCGTGCAAGGCACGTGCCCTACCCGTGGAAATGGCTCTCTGGTCTCCCCATTCTGTTTTGACTTCTGGGGTCTAAATACCTTGCTGTGCCCAGGGGACCATGCAGTGCCAGGCCATGAAGCACATGCTCAGACTCTCCAGCTCTCTCCCCTACCCCAGAACCCCATTTTCACTGCTGGGGGGCGGGGGGAGCGGGGAATCTTCCTGAAACAGATGAAGCTGGGTCCCACAGCTGTGCCTCAGACCCTGAACTCTTGGGCGGAGGGCACTGGGGCCACACCTCAAGGCTGGTACCTTGTCCTGACTCTCGGGCATGCATGGTCCACCTCTCTGTTCACCGGAGAACCGCTGTGGCGCTGAGGGTCCCCGGACTGCAGTGGTTTTAGTCTGGCTTTCCAGCTGCTGTGGCCTGGGGCCATGCGCTGTCAGACCCCTGTAACTCTGGGTCCGCACCTCAGACAGTGCAAGGGTCTGTTGGTAGCCAGACTGAGTGTTGATGAGGGTGAGCAACTCTGCTTCCCCGAGCATGGTGTGGACGGGCCCCACTGCCCCCCGTGTGTGTCCTGGGGCCCAGGCTGCTGCCTGGGTACAAGACCAGGCACCCCAGAACCATAGGTGGCAGGGGTGGGGCTGGGACTACCCAACCAGCCTAGCGGACCCCCGCAGGAGACATGCCCGTGAGGAGGAAACCTGCTGCCCTGAGCGCCCCTCCGCGGCGGAAGGAGGAGTTCTCCCTCTTCAAGGTATCTGAGGACGACTGCAAAGTCAAGATCTCCCCGCAGCTGCTCCTGGCCACCCAGCGCTTCCTCTCCCGAGGTGAGGGCGATGGGGGAGCCTGTCCTCGCACCCCTCCCCGGCCCGCCAGGACAGCCGCCAGGCACTCCCTGCCTCTCTGAGCACGGCTGGTGCGTCGTGGAGAGCCAGGGCGGGCCCCAGGACCTGGTGGACACTGATCTGTGTCCACGTGGGCAGAGGTGGACGTTTTCAGCCCGCTGCGGATCTCGGAGAAGGTCCTGCTTCACCTGCTGAAGCACCCGAGCGTCAACCAGGAGGTGAGGTTCGACGCACATGACCGCCGGGCTGCCCACCACTACCTGTACCAGCGCAGCCGGCCCGTGGACTACTTCATCCTCATCCTGCAGGTGACCCCGCGCCCGCCTCTCCCATTCTGGGAACCGGGAAGGAGCTGGAGGGCAGGGAGGACCCCCCCTCCCCCCCACCCAGCAACCCCACTCCCTGAGTAATGGGGGCCGGCTCTTTCTCCCTGTGCTCTCTTCCGGCAGGAAAGATAATTTGTCCACATCTGTGTCTCTCCTGCCCTCCTTCCTCCCCTTTCCCCACACCTCCCAGGGTAGGGTTGAGGTGGAGATCGGGAAAGAGGGCCTGAAGTTCGAGAATGGGGCCTTCACCTACTATGGAGTGTCAGCCCTGACCGCGCCGTCCTCGGGTAAGTCGGGGGCTGGCTCGCCACGGCTCCTGGGTCCGGGGTTCTGCCTCCCTCTCTCAGAGCCGGGGCCCTCTCAGAACGTCTGCCTGGGGGGTCCATGAAGGTTGTGTGGGAGACCCGCCTCTTGGGGTGAGGGCAGGCTGCTTAGCTCCCGTCGTGGTGGTCTTGGCACTGGCACCAACTGCCCCTTCCTGTAGTTCACCAGTCTCCGACGGCCTCGCTCCAGTCCATCCGCCAGGACTTGCCACCCGAGCCCGCTGATGCTACCCGGCCGCCCGCCTACTGCCCAGACTATACTGTGCGGGCTCTCTCCGACCTGCAGCTCGTGAAGGTGACTGGGCTGTTCCCCGCCACAGTTTGTCCCCCCCCCCCCCCCCCCCCCACTGCCCAAGGCCCTGGTCACAGCAGTTGTGTGTGTGTTGGTGGGGCGGGGAGGGGCGGGGTGCAGCAATCCTCTGGACCTGTCTGCCTGGTGTCTTTCTGTTTTTTCGGTTTTCTTTTTTTTTTTTTGGTCACACCTGGCGATGCTCCTGGCTCAGCACTCAGGAATTACTCCTGGCAGTGCTTGGGGGATCATATGGTGTGCCGGGGATCAAACCCTGGTCGGCTGCGTGCAAGGCCAACGCCCTACTCACTGTGCTATCACTCTGGCCCCCAGTATCCTTTTGAGATCTGAGAGTTTGTCTGGGTCTGAGACACAGCTCAAGCACTGCCCGGACCCCAGCACTGGCAGGTGTGACCCTCATGGCCCAGACTGGGAAAGGGCCCAGGCTCTCCCCAGCTGCTCTGCGCTTCTCTGCCCTCTCTGGGCCAGGGCAGGTGCTCGTGGGCAGGTGGGAGCAGGGCGAACTCGCCCCCAGCACCTGTTCCCGCTGCTCTCCGCCCTGCAGGTCACACGGCTCCAGTACCTCAATGCACTCCTGGCGACCCGAGCCCAGAACTTGCCCCCGTCGCCCGAGAACGCGGAACTGCAGATCATCCCGGGCAGCCAGGCCCGGCTGCTCGGTGACAAGGCCGCAGCCACCACTGTCGCAGGTGAGCCCCGAGGGGCCCCACTGGTGGCATCAGCCCGGGGTTTGCAGGGCCCTGGCAGCGCCTGTAGACATCCGCTCAGCTCCACACTCTTCTCTTCCCCCACCCCCTCACCTTCTCCTCAGTCAGCATTTCCTCCTGGAGCCTGTTAGAGAGACGTGGTCAGAGAGGAAGTGTGATGGTGTCACACTGCGGGCTTGGCAGAGCGCAGAGAGCTGCCCCCACCCTGGGCTCCCCAGAGAGAGGGAAGGGGGTGTTGGAAGACTCTGCGGGCCTGGGAGATTCCCAGAGGGCTGGAGCACAGGCTTTGCATGGAGGAGTCCCGACTTCTTTCGCAGGCCCCTCACTCACGGCTCCCTGAGCATCTCCAGGAGCCGCCCTGCAAGCACCAAGCCAGGTGTAGCCCCTGAGCGTTGCCCGATGTGGCCCCCGAAACCAAACAGGAAGGAAGGGAGAGACTTCCCCTTGTGCATGGAGACAGGGCTTTGGGCAGGAGTGGTGGAAGCGGGGCCTTCTGTGCCCTCCTCCAAGAAGGCGCTCTGTCTCTCTCCTGTCCCGCCCCTCCTTTTGCTGGCACTGTGGAGAGCAGAGCTCACGCTCACGTTTGGCTGTGATGCTCTCGGGGCTGCAGTGCTTGTCGGGAGCACACTCCGTTAGTAGCCGTGCTCCCGAGACTGGACGCTCGCCAACAGTGGTGCTACGGGGACCACGTGGGCCTGGCGCGTGCGGGTGGCACAGAGCATTGAACTCCGGGCTAGCTTGCAGGTAGGCGCTGTTTGCTGCCACTCCCCCAGTACTTTTGGTTGAGCTTGGGGCGGGGGGCGGGGGGGGGGGGGTCAGAGATGATCCAGATCTCAGCATTCTTGGAGGAACTGGTGGGACTGCTGCAAGGTCCCTGGCAGGCCTGGCGTGACCAGTTTGTGTTCTCTGCGCACACTCCACTCCCAAGTTGGGCTCAGGGCATGCTTGTGCTGTGCTCCCTGGGAAGGGCCCCACAACCCCTCGTCCACCTGGGGAAACTTCCAGCAGCTCTGTGGAGGAGGTCCGTCCAGATGAGGAGTTGGAGGGAAGGGGTCTGGGCTGGTGGCACGCTACGCACTGACCAGGGCAGTAGGTACTTGGCTGACGCCCTGAGCGGGCCAGGCACACAGCCCTTCTGCACCCACAACCACACTCACATGGGCTCTACCTTTGCAGCATTGCCCACAGCAATGCCACTGTGTAGCCTTATTCACGCCTTCCTTGAGAGCAGGGGATCATGCTTACTGGGCCCATCTAGCCCCTGCCGCGTTCTGGTGATCCCACCTGAAGGCAACACTGCATCTGGCTTAGGTTTGGTTTTCTCCACATGGGCGCTGTCTGTTGTTTTGTTTTTGAACACCTACCATTGTTGTGTTCAGGGATCACGCCTGGTGGAATCTGGGAGTGCCTGGGATGCCGGTGACCAAACCCAGGTCATCTGCCTCCGAGGCAAGTGCCCTACCCGTTGTACTGTTGTTCCAGCTCCCCGTGATGAACCTTTTGGGTTTGGCTTCTCATGTGACCCCTGTTCCCTCCCCCAGCACCACCCCAAGCTGCTCAGGCTGCTGAAGTGAGAGTCAGAAACAGTTTCATTCTGCGCACATGGGCATCCCTTCTATTGTTTATCGCCTTCTCAGAGTTTTTTTCTGGGTTTTTTTTTTTTGGGGGGGGAACAAACCCAGCTTGGGGCTTACTCCTGCCTCGCTCAGGGATCATGCCTGGTGGGCTCTGGGCATCCTATAGCATACGGGGGATTGGGTTGTCTGCGTGCAAAATCCCTCCCCACGGTACTATCACTCTTGCCTGCTCAGTGCTTTTGATGCCCTGTTCTGCTTGCCCCAGCCCTGGAGTGATAGCACACAGGTAGGGTGGTTGGTTGCCTTGCACGCCGCCAACCCAACCAACCCGGGTTCGATTCCTCCTCTCCTCTTGGAGAGCCTGGCAAGCTACCGAGAGTATCTCGCCCTCACGGCAGAGCCTGGCAAGCTACCCATGACGTATTCAATATCTCAAACACAGTAACAACAATTCTCACAATGGAGATGTTACTGGGCCTCCTAGAGCAAATCCATGAACAATGGGAGTACGGTGTAGTGTAGTGCAGTTCTGCTCACACCACCTACAGGCAGTCGTCAGGGACGCGCTCCTCGTGGCTGTGGCCGGGTGGAAATATTCCTTTTCACCACAGATTCCCAAGTCTGCAGGGGCATCCCCTGGATCCAGACAGCCCGTTGCTAACCTCATTGGGGGTCACTACCCCATAAATGCAGCTTGCCCTCTCCCTGCGGCTCTCTGGTGGTCTGCAACCAGACATATCCCTGCCCAGGAGAACTCCGCATTGCCTCCTGCAGACCTCAGAGCCGTGTTCCTTAAATCACTCACTAGATTCCCTGGCAGAGAAGTGCCTACACTGAAATGCTCCTGGAGTAGGAGAGGTGGTACCAGAAGGAAGGTACTTGCCTTGCTTGCAGCTGGGATTTGATCCCAGGACTTCTGAGCAGAGTCAGATGTGGCCAAAAAAGACTTGGAAGATGCGGTGATTGTTTGGGGCCACACTGGGTGGGGCTCGGGCTATTCCTGGCTCTGCAGGAGTCTCCCGTGGCGCTAGTACCTCTGTGGTGCGGGGGGATTGAACCGGGGTTGGCTGCATTCCACCCCTGTACTCTCTTGGCCTTAGGCATAGTTATTTTTGATTTTTTTTTTTTAAGTTTTGGGGCTACACCTGGAAGTGTTCAGGAATCACTGCTGGGGATTGAACCCAGGTCAGCTCTGTGCTAGGCAAAGCACCCTCCCCACAGCACTATCGCTCCAGCCCCAGGTATAGTGATTTTTAACCACCTGTAGCAGGGGCTTGCAAACTGGTCCTAGGCTGAATTAGGCAGCTGCTTCTGCCTTACAAAATAAAGTTTTGGGGTTTTGGGGGGTCCAGAACAGAGGGAGAATAGGTCAGTGCTCAGGGGCTCCTTTCAGTCCTCCCAGTGCTGTATTTGGGGGATGATAGTTGGGAATGGTGCCTGGGCCTGCTGTGTGCATAGCACACGTTCAGTCTTTGAATCTCTCTGGTCCTTGTTAACAGACTTTATTGTGCCCTCCTATCTGTGGCATACGTGTGTGTGTGTGTGTGTGTGTGTGTGATAACTTTCTGGGTTTTTTATCCTGTACACTGGGGCTACTTCCTGCTCTGCTCAGGGGTTACTCCTTGCTTTGTGCTCAGGGAACCAGGCCATGTCTGGGATTGAGCAGACCATGTGCCCATGGCCCCTGTGCTCAACTTTTGTGCTCGAGCAGCCCAGTGGCCCTTGGGATCCAGTTCGCTGAACCCCATCATATGCCAGTGCCAGCGTTTGTCAGAGCAGGTGTCGGCCCTCCGAGGGTGCTGGAGTGATCTGGGAGGAGTGGGTGGGCAGCAGTAGCCTGGGGTGCTGTTGTGGGGGCCTCTTCGTTCTTGCCCTGGGTGGCGGGGGCGGCCTGGGAGGGGCCGTGGGCCCTCTGCTGTCTGGACCATTTGAAGCTTGATTCTCGGGGTCCGCTGCAGATGCTGTGCCCCCTCTCCCCGTGTGGGCTGCGCTCAGCTGCTTGTGTCCTCTCTCCCTCCCTCTCTCTGCTCTCTCCAGACCTTTCCCTCTTTGGCACATTCAGGAACTGCAGTTGATAATGACTGTGGACTAGACTTTTTTGTTTTAAGAGAACACCTGAGGTAATTAGGTAATTATCTGTTCATTTGCTTTCCCTTTCACTTTTCTTGCCCCCTGCCCCCCCTCCCGCCCCCCACTATCTAGCTGCTGGGTGGAGCACTGAAGCCTGCTCCTCCCCCCTCCCCTGCTGGGGGTGTTGTTCCCTGTGTGTGTGTGGGTGGGGGGGGAATGCCCCCCTTTTTTCATCTCTGGGAGACCAGAGGAGGAGTCAGGTGCTTGCTTCCCTGTGTGGATCAGGACTCCCCAGTCGCCACAGCCCACCTTGATGGTGGCCTCCTCTCCAAACTGGCTTCCTGTCGAGGTCTTCAGCTCAGCCTTGCCTCCTCGGCGGGGTCCCGAGACCCCAATCTCATCCCTGTCCCTTCTTGTCCTAAAGGGGATCCGCGTGCTTGGGGTATGTGGAGGAGAGCAGGGACGAGCTCGCTGCTTCAGTTCTGACCGTGACTCTCCCTCTTTCCTCCAGGGTCCAACCACAGCAGACCTGGCCTCCCGTCCGAGGACAGCCCTGGGCGGAACCCGGGGGTGTAAGTGCCACCCAGGCGGCTGCAGGCCCAGGCAGCGGAGAGAGGAGAGAGGCGAGCAGCAGTTTCCTGCCAGAGCGTCCTGCTCCTCCAGGCCACGTTTTAGATGGCCTCGGAGGTGTGGGTCCTGGGTGGTGATCCTCAGTGTTAGGCACAGGTGCCCAGCGCCCCCGGCGGATTCTGTCCCAGGAGCTGGGCTCAGCCTGGGCACTCCCCTTCCTGGCCAGCTGGCGGAAGGAGAGAGGGGAGCAGCGTCCTGTGCAGCACCACGACCTGCCGAGGGCGTGCGTGTGTGTGTGTGCAGGGTCTGTGCCCACACGTGGCTGTGTCCTGGGCCTGCTCGGCTTTTCACTTGCCAACCTTCTGCTGCTGGCAGCACTTTCTGTGGGAACCCCGCACACCAGTTTGGACTGGGCGGGGAGGTGGGGTGGGGGGGTGGGGCAGGATTCAAGTCCGTCACCTTGACCGTGGTAAACTTTGGATTTTTCCTGAAATGTCCTGTTTTGTAGCACATGCCCCAGCCCCACTTTTGTGCCAAACCTTGGAGCACGTGTTCCCCTGAACCCCACCCATTCCCACTCCTTCCTACGGAAGTTTCTCTTCTGACCCCATTCGTGCACTCCATGCCCACCCACCCCCCCAAAAAAAAATTGGCCCCAGGGGATTGAAGCACCTGCTCGATTCTGCCTGTCTTGCTTTGTCACCACTAACAGTATTTGTTATCCTGTGTGCTCTAAGAAGAGGTCACACGAGGAGGGGTTAGCTGCTCTGCCCCTGATCGCTGGCTGGGAGAGCTCTTAGCTGCAAGGCCGTAGGTGGGGCTGTGTTGGGAAGAGCCTCGAGGGCAAGGAAGGCTGGTGTGGCCCAGGGGGCCACCACCACTTTTCTTGAAGGAAGGGACGTGAAATTGAGGTTTCTCTCATATTCCAAATATGCCAAGCTCGCTGCTTTCTGTTCCTGCCTGTGAGGTTTGGAGAGAAGTGGCAACCGGAAGGTATTTCCCCTTTTCCAAACTCTGGTTGACCCCAGCACTTCATGAGCTTGGTAAAACACCAGGAATCAGAGTCTAGATTGGGCAGCAGGGCGGACCTGGAAACTTGGACCGGGAAAGTCAAAGGACAGCGGAAGCTTGGCTTAGAAGTGGGGTTACGGGGGTTCTCGCTAGAGCATCCTACTTCCCGTGCAGGAAGTAGGCACTTTAAAAATCTCTCCAGAGCAACCGTGGTTGCACCTGGGCATCTCCTGGCAGACTCAGGTGCTGGTACCTGGCGCCGACCTGCAGCCTCTGACAGGGTAGCAAGAGTTTTCATTATCTAAGCACCTTTAGATTCGTGGCAGAGCTTCATATGCCCTTCCCCCAGCTTCTGATGTTAACCATTGTCATTTATCAAAATTCAAAAATATATAAAACTATGAACTAAAATCATGGGCTTTTTAATTTTTTCTTTTATTTTTTAATACGGCCAGTTTTTTTGCCCCAGTAAATGTCTTTCTTTCTGTTGCTGAATCTGGACCAGGATGGCAAATGGCAACTTGATCTTCTGCTTTTTTTAAAACTTCTCTACCTAATTTCTGGTCTTGAGATCATCGCGAATTCACAGGCAGTTGCAGGGGGTACGCTGCCCTCTCCTCTCCCTGGCCTTGTGTGCAGCGGGTGTGCGTCTCTCCCCTCACCTAGGAGGAGGCACTGCCCAGCCTCTGTTGGGTTACCCCAGGGTTCCTCCATTCCCTGCCACTGCTGACCTGGTCTTCATCTCTGCTTCCGTTGGGCCTTCCTGTCCGGCGGGATCAGGCAGCAAGTTCTGTGTGGGCCTGGCGTCTGTCCCTTAGAGGATGCTCTGGTGTCCCCTGCTCTCTTGGACCGTGTGAAGTTACTCAGTACTGCAGGGTGTCCTCACTTATCTCATTGAAGGATGTCGGGGTGGTTTTTGGCTAGTTTGAATAAAGCTGCTATGATCCTTTCAGTAGGTTTCAGTGTAAACATGGTTTTTTTCCTCTGAGATTAGAGTTCAGGAATATTGTTGCTAGACCCTGTGGTGTTTACGTTTTGCTGAGTGTGTGCACGTGTGATTTTATGTCTCCCTCTCCTCGTGTGTCTGCATGACCTTGTTTCTCTGGATTCTCACCCGCATTTGGCACCTTGTTATTTTAGCCGTTTCTGGTAAGTCTGTAACAACACAGTGCTGTGGTCTCTCACTTGTCTCCTTAATGTCTGGTGTCTGAATTTTCACTGAATGTTTTATTTTCCTTTGTGAAGTAACTGTCCATGTCTTTGCCCATTTTCTAGTCAGATTGTCGTCTTAACTGTTGAGATTTCAGAGTCCTTTTCATATATATAGGTATATGAAAAACTATATAAAAACATGTATATAGATATATATGTTCACATATATATATATAAAATTTGTGTTTGCTTTTTGGGCTATAACTGATTGTTCTCAGGGCTTACTTTACTCCTGGCTCTGTGCTCAGGGATCACTCCTGGTGGGGCTTAGGGGACCTTATGCGTGCTGGGGATCGAACCTGGAGTGGCTACATGGCAAAACAAGCACCCTCCCCACTGTGCTGTCGTTGCAAGCCTGATATCTATGTTCTTCATCAATACTTGTTTTTGGTGATATCCAGCGCTGCTCGGGGCAGTTCCTGGAGTGGTGCTCAGGGGACCATGCAGTATGGGGAACCCAACCTCTTGCATGCTGAGCAGCCTGTGGTCATCTCCGTGGCCCAGTCTGGCTGTCTTGATTACAGTAGTTGCTGTATAAATGTCTTGAAAATGAGTAGAGCGATTCCTTCCAATTTACTTTTTTCCTTTTGGCCACACCCAATGGTGCTCAGAGCTTAAACCTGGCTCAGGGATCACTACTGGTGGTGCTGGGGACTGAACCCAGGTCAGTTGCATGCAAGGAAGTGCCTTACCCACTGTGCTTTCTGGCCCCTACACTTTACTCTTTTACAAGAATGTTTTAGGTTAACATTTATTGACCTAATAGCTACAAAAATCTTGTTGCAATTTTGGTAGGAGCGTCATTTAACACATTTGATAAGGGGAGAATTGATATCTCTTACTATGCTTTCTCTTCCAGTCCATGGACACTTGTTTTTTTGTGTGTGGCGCAGTGGGTTAACCCACGGCCTCACTATATAATTATTGTATTTCATCAGTGATTTGTAGTTTTATTTATTGTTTTGGTTTGGTATTTGGGCCATACCTGGCAGTGATCAGGGCTTCTAACTGTGCTCAGGGATCATTCCTGGTGGGCTCGGGGACCACCTGTGGCCAGGGATCAAACCCAGGTCAGTTGCATGCAAGGCAAGCACCCTACCTGAGGTTCTATCTTTCTCATTCAGACCCCATTGTAATTTCTAATTTTCCCACTTAAGTCCTTCATGCATGCTTTGTTAGACTTATAAATAAATACTTCATTTTTTGAAGAAATTACAATGATTCACTGTATTAATTTTGGTGTTCACACACTGTTAGGACATAGAAATAAGTTTTTGTGGGCTGCAGCGATGGTACAGACGTACAGAGGTTATGGTTCTTGCGTTGCACCTGGCCAACCTGGGTTCAGTTCCCCAGTACCACATACGGTCCCCCAGCACTATCCCTCAATCCTGCCAGGTGTTAAGGCCAGGTGCCTGCCTTAACACAGCTAGATGTGGCGCAGGAAGGGAAGGAGGAGAGAAGATAAGAGTTTCTGTATATTTTCTCTCATACTGAGATCTTGCTGCACTTCCTGATTCTGGGTGAGATTTAGGGGTATATACCCCAGGGATTCTGATTCAAATTGTCTGAACATCAGCTGCCAAAGCGGAGAACCACTGCTCTGTGAACTTGCCTAGGAACAAGCACATAGCTCTGGAGCACAGCAGCCACTGCCACACACAGGCCTACACAGGCTGCCCCTGGGCCCCTGCTTGCTCTCAGGCTGCTGTGGCCAGTAGGTTTGTGTCTGGCTGTAGTAAGGGTTGGGAGCCGGGAACCCAACAGACGCCATCCCAGTCCAGAACAGATAAGGACGCTGCAGTGGGTAATCATTTTAATGGAACAGAAAGTATTGATGCGTATAAAAAGGTGCTTTTGTCTTTCGTTAGGTGTCCCCATTGTCTAGATGGGGGAGTCGTCTTCTCCATGGACTCGGGCCTGCCTCCCAGCCCCCGCATCCTGAGTGTGTGCTGGCAGCAGGGCAGGGTTGTCCCCTGGAGAAAGGTGCTTGGCCCCTGGGCTGGAGCCCTTGTCATCAGTGTCACAGTCAGAACCGTCTTATTCTGGCCCCAAACAGGCTGCTGCTGCTGCATAGTGGGCCACCACTCTTCTTCCCGCCACTTCTCAGTGCTCTCTGGTCCGCAGGACCCGATCACCCAGCGTGCAGGCCTAGGATAGCACTGCTGGGCCCAGGAGGGGCCAGGAGGGGAGGGGCCAGACCAGGACAGCCAGCAGAGACCCAGGCTGGAGGGATGCACTCGAGAGGAGCAGGAGTGGGGCGCCTGACCAGTCCCTGCTCCCTTGGGGTTGAGGATCTCCATCCTGCCTGGATTTGGGGGAGAGCAAGTGGGTGGCCGCAGGACATTAATGCCTTCCACAGGCCAGGGGCAGCCTCAGCACCCAGACACTTCGGCCCCAATGGGCGCTCCCCAGTGGCCAGCTGGGGTGACCTCCGTGGTCCCGCGTCGGGCCAAGGCTCCTCTGTGCTACTGGGGGGGTGGGGTCTAGCCCGTCATTCCCAGCCCTCTGGGCAACCAAGGGTGGAGCTGGGTTTGTGCCACGGGAAGGCCGCATGCCTGCAGAGCAGCCTCCCAGCTCCAGGCCCGACTCCAGAGACCCTGAGAGTGACATCCAGTACCCCCGCGCTTACCAGGGTTGCTGCTGGTAAGAAGGCCCCAGAGAAACCTGCCTGTGGCCTGGCCGGCTACGGGGTGCTTGGGGAAGCCGTTCACTGTGCAAGACGGAAGGGGGCGGACAGGTGTGACCTGGCCCGCAGCTCCCGGGGACAGACGTCTTGCCTGGACTGCACTCACCCTGGCTTGGCCCCGCCTGGGCCTGTCTCCCACAGTGCTCTACCTCAGCCTCTCCTAGCTGCCGCCCTGGCAGGGACAGTCACCCTGGGCATTTAGCCTCCAGGGAACCCTCTCTCTGCCTGCCTGGGCATTCTCTTCGGTCCTGCAGGGCGCCCTGAAAGTGGAGGGTGGGGGGGCGCTGCAGCTGGCCGGGGCTCCTCTGGGTGAGCCTGGAATGGCAGTGGAAGCAGGGCAGCCTGCCGGTGCGTGTCCTTGCTAGCAGCGGGTCCGCGGGTGGCCCACATGGGCCTGCAGCGCTTCGCGGATGCCCCGCTGCCAGTCTCGTGCTAGCTGCACCGGGGTCATGGACGCCTGTGGACAAGGATGCGCCCTCTGAGTGGGCTTCTCCCAGCTCCACCTCCGAGGCCTGGCACTCCACCCCTTCAGCCCCCCAGACTCCCAGCCCCAGCGCCCACCCCGCTCTGCAACCCTCCCAGCCCCCCTGAGCCCAGCACTCACCCCGCCCTGCATGCCTTAGACCCAGTGCTCGCCCCCATCCTGCCCTGCACACCCTCCCAGCCCCCCACCCAGCCCAGCATTCACCCCGCCCCCATGCCCCCCAGCCCCTGCTCTTACCCCGTTCCGCACGCCCAGCCTGGCCCCGTACAGCAGCAGCACCTTGATGGCCTTGTAGTGGCCGTGCCGCACCGCTTCGTGCAGCGCCGTGTCCCCTTCCTGTGGAGAGACAGGAGAGGTCATGTGGGCGCCTGGGGGTGCCGGGGGTGGGGCCAGCCCTCTGGGAAGGCCCAGCACCCACCTTGTCCTGCGCGTCGATGCGGGCCCCACATTCGATGAGGTGCTGCAGGCAGTCGCAATGCCCCGTGCGTACCGCCACGTGCAGGGGGGTGCTCCAGATCTAGCAGGGGCAGGAGGAGGACGAGGGTCAGCACCCCAGCACCGCTGGCCCCCCCGCGCCTGACACCCACCTTGCCCCCCCCCCCACCTTGTCCTGGGCGTTGATCTGGGCTCCCTGGTTCAGCAGTTCCTTGAGGATGTCTAAGTGTCCTCCTCGGCATGCCCAGAACACGGGGGTCCTGTCCAGCTGCGAGAGCAAAGCAGCACAGAGCTGGCATTCAGGCTGGGCAGGCTGCCCCCGAGGGGTCCCTGCTGCCCCCTCCCCCTCGAGGGGTACCCAGCCTTGCCCACTGCTCACCAGGTCCCGCGCGTCCACATTGGCGCCTGCCTCCAGCAGCTTCTTCACGAGCTGCAGGTTTCCTTTCAGACTGGCCCAGTGCAGGGCAGTGCGGTGGAGCTGGGGGTGGGTCCAGAAGTGAGACATGGGGGGTGGGGGGACAGGCCAGAGCCACACACGAGCCCCCACTCCTGCACAGCTGCCCACCTTGCCATGTCCCCACCCCCGCCCCTGCATGCTACCTTGTCATGGGCATTGGGGTCCCCGCCATCTGCCAGGTACTTGTTGATCGGGGCCTCCTGGTTCTCGGCAGCTGCCCTCAGGAACCTCTCCAGGTCCACAGGCTCCAGCAGGGCCTTGGGCTGCTGCTGGGAAAGATGACAAGCACCTGGTGGCCATCGCCTCTCTCTGCCCTGCCCAGCGCTTCCCAGAGACTTTGGAGAAATGATTCCCCCCGCCCCAGAAGAGGTGGCTGAGTTCTCACAGGGGTGGATGGCTATGGGGCTAACATGTCCCCCTGCATGGTGCCCCCAGGACTGCAGCCGGACCTTGTGGGAACGGAGCTGCTAGATCCAATAAGGGGAGCCCTCCTCTTGCCCGACGGGGTGCACAGGCTCCCACGCAGAGCACCGAGGGGAGGGGACAGCCAGGCTGGAGAAGAGGGATGGCAGCCACCTCTCATGGGAGCCACATCTCACCCCCTGGCAGTGCCCAATTCCAGAAGGGAGAGAAGCGTGGGTCTAGAGCAATAGTGAGAGGGCGCTTGCCTTCCACCTGGCTGACCCAGGTTCAACCCCTGGCATCCCATATGGTCCCCCAGAGCACCACCAAGAGTGATTCCTGAGTGAAGAGCCAGGAGTAACCCCTGAACATCATGGCGTGTGGCCCCCAAACCAAACCAAACCCAGAAAGGAGAGGAGAAACATGGGCTGTTTAAGCCCCATGCTATGCTCTGCAGTCCCGGCAGGGCCACCGGACAGATTCCTTGCAGCTTGAGGGACACAGGTTTCCAGGGCCCACATGCCCCCAACACCCCCCAGCCCTGGAGCTGAGGCATGCAGTCCCCCCACTCACCTCCTCCAGGTGCTCCTGTGCCCTGGGGGGAACTCCTCTGCGCTTCAGTTTCAGTCTCTTTTCTCTGCGTCTCTGAACTAAGTTTTCCAAGTCAGCCAGACTCTCCAGGTTCAGCCTGGAGCTGTGGAACCTCTCCAGCTGGGCCGGGAGAAGACCAGAGTCTGTCAGCCAGAGGCATCCTTGCCTGCCGCCTGCCCCAAGCCCTACCTGCTCAGGCAGCTCCGCGAGCCAGACCCTGGTGTCACTCACTTTCTTCCTCTTCTCTTCCTCCAGCCTCTGTCTCTCCTGGGCATCAGCCTCTTGGGGTCGAAGCCCCCAGCCACTGGGCCGGCCTCCAGGATCAGGAACGCCATGTCTACACGCCAACATTTTCCTTTCATCTCTTGCTCCACTTACCTGTGGAACAGGAGGGCGTGCGCGATAGCACAGGGGGAAGATGCTTTGCCTGACATGCAGCCAAACACAGTTTAATGTCTAGCACCACATACGGGCCCCCAGCCCTGCCAGGAGTGCCAGGAGTGATCCCCGAATACCACCAGGTTTGGCTCCCTAACCCCCATCCCTCAAAAAAAATTTTTTTAAAAAATAAAACCTGCACGTTAGAAGGAGTGGTCAGAGCCATGCACTTCCATGGAACCGACCCACATGAGTTCTGGACCTGAGCTGGGCTGGCCGCCTGGAGCAGGCAGCTCCCTCGGGCTCCCCAAAGAGCATGATGCCACCTCTATTTATACCTCTGGGCTGCTGCCAGACAAGCTCCGAGCAGGTGACATGAGCTGTGTCCTTACATTCCAGCCAGGTCACAGCTCGGGGACAGAGGCTAAGCCTCCTGGAATTCCTGGCTTCTTGTCGCTCAGAAGCAGCTGCCTGTTCCTTGATCAGTAAAGTGGGCTCAAACTAGCTTTCTTACCTCATGCTTCTACTAAGAGTCCAGGCGCTACTGGGGACTTGTGCCCAGGGCAGAAATGCCCCTTCCCAGTGCCCATCCCCCCTCCACACACAGACACAGGATCTGGTCTTTTCTTCCCTTCCCCAGAATTTGGGAGCCCTGTGGAATGAACACATCTTTTGGGTTCTTTTTTTTTCCCTCTGGGGAGAGGAGGGGCGGTCAGGCTTCACTCCTTGCGGCGCTCAGGGGGCCCCTCTGCTGCACTGGGTTCATGGTGGCCATCCAACTGGGTTCGGCCACATGCAAGGCAAGCACCTTCCCTGCTGTACTCTCTCTCCATCCCCAGAATGAAAATGTCAGGGGAAAGAAGGCTGGGTGACAGAGTGGCAAAGCCCAGGGCTCCACGCACAACTCCATCCCCTTCTCCAGCAAACTCTCCACAGACTCACAGATCCCTCCGTAGCTGCCTCCCAGCAGATGCTGGGTCAGGTGGGGGTAACCTTGCTTCCCCGGAGCCCTTACCACCACCCCCACCTCCCCATGCTAAAACAGACATACAGGCATTGTTTTTGTTTGTTTTTTTTGGGGGGGGTCACACCCGGTGATGCACAGGAGTTACTCCTAGCTCATGCACTCACTCGGGAGTTACTCCTGGCGGTGCTCAGGGGACCATATGGGATGCTGGGAATCGAACCCGGGTCGGCCACGTGCAAGGCAAATGCCCTACCCGCTGTGCTATCTCTCCAGCCCCTAAAACAGATATTCTTAAGTCAGTTTTCTCACCCTGCCCCAGGAACTGCAGAGCCCCGGCTCCCGGCTATATGCCCCCAACCTCACCTCTCACTTCCAATCCGCTGCTAGGGAACCCAGAGCATGGCACTGTCCCCTGTGCTCCTGTCCAGCTGACCCACGCAGCACCCAGCGCATAAAACCTGGGGTTCCTGGGCCTGGCAGTTTTCCTGCCCTCTTCCCCCCTTGCTCTCTACCCGCCTTACTGGGGAGCGACAGACCGGAACAGAACCATGTGCTTCCCATTCCACCTCCACAGGAATCTGTCCCCAGAAAATGGCTCCCCGACCCTATTCCCTCACGTGTCCTTACCAAGTGCTGGATGCTGATGAGGTCCATGGTCCCCCCTTCCCTGCACTCACCCCACACTGAGATGCTGAGTTGCTGGTCCCTTTTATACCAGCTCTTGTCCTGGGGGCAGGGTGGGGGCTGGTGTCTGCGACAGATGACTCTGTGGCTCTGTAACACCAACCAAAATATCCCTGTGACACAGAGGCCTGGCTGGTGCTGGCAGAAGGGGCTGCTTGAGGCTGAGTCAGTTGCCACCCCCGGGCCAGCCCCTGGACCCACTGAGCCAGTCTAGTGTTTCAAGCTGGGCCACCAGTCCTGATGCTGCAGGCCTTTCCCCTCGCCTACACCCCAGCTTCCAGATTTCTGTAGGGCTGATGGTCCAAGTCCCACCCAACGGTCTTAGCCAAAGGCCCATACTCCAAGGAGGACCCCACAAGGATGGGGTGTGCAGTGACTCCCGGCAGGGGACCCCATGATGCCTGCACAAGGGACCTCCAGTCTCCAGCCAGTCTCCAGGCTGCCCACGCCACCTGCCTGTCCTCTGCTGATTCAGAGACCCCTCGCTTCAGGGGCTGAGAAGATACTCAGTGGGCAGTAGCGCCTTTGACAATGGGAGACCTGGGTTCCACCGGTATGCTGCAACTGACCCCCCAAGTACTAAGCTAACAGACCCAGAGCATGGCTGGGTGGGGTCCAAAAACCTAAACACCAACCCACTCAAACATAGCCAAACCCCAAGTCAGTCCATCAATAGCACCTCACACATTTGGGGCTGGCAGGTCATGTGCTAGCTCCAGGCCACCAGCTTTCCTGGGCTTGAGGACACAGTCCCTCAGGGAAGCCGGGACAGAGCTGCTCTGGGCCAGGTGCAGGGTGCTGACCATTAACCCGCCCCAGTGTGACTTTCCCTCCCTGTCCTTCAGCCTCAGGCTGTACTCGTCTGACCTTTGAAGGAAACCTGATCACTGGTAAATAATACCTGGAGTTGAAGCTGTAGGAGCTGTGATTGCTGAAAGAACTCGGGGCTAAGGGCAGCCCAAGGACACCAAGGACAGCCCCCAACACACACACACACACACACACACACACACACACAAACAAGGACAGTCCCCAACATACGCACACACACAAACACACCAAGGACCCCAACACACACACACACACACACACACACACACACACACACACCCTTCTTGATAAGTATTTCCTAGTTTGGGGACTTGGGGAATCCAGAGAATTTAAAGGAACTCAGTCCTGAGGCTGAGGGGAGCTCAAAAGGACTTTGCCCAGGAGGTCTGGTTCCATCTTCAGCACTGCATGGTCCTGTGGCTCTGGGATCAACCCCTGAGCAATGACCAGGGGTATTCCCTGAGCACTGCTGGGGAGTCCTTTGCCAAAAGAATGTCTTTTTTGGGTTTTTTTTTTTTTTGGCTTTTTGGGTCACACCTGATGATCTCAGGGGTTACTCCTAGCTCTGCACTGATGGCAGTGTTCAGGGGACCAGATAGGATGCCGGGGATCAAACCTGGGTTGGCTGCATGCAAGACAAATGCCCTCCCTACTGGACTATCATTCCAGCCCCAAGAAAGAATGTTTTAAGGGGCCGGAGCCATAGTACAGCAGGTAGGGTGTTTGCCTTGCACACAGCTGACCTGGGTTCAATCCCAGAATTCTATAAGGTCCCCTGAGCCTGCCAGGAGTAATCCCTGAGCTTAGGGCCAGGAGTAACCCCTGAGCACCAGTGGGTGTGTCCCCTCTTCCCCCCTCCCCTGAAAAATCAGGTATTAAAGAAGAAATTCAGGGGCTGGAGCAATAGCACAGCAGGTAGGGTGTTTGCTGTGCACGCGGTCGACCCGGGTTCGATTCCCAGCATCCCATATGGTCCCCCGAGCACCGCCAGGAGTAATTCCTGAGTGCATGAGTCGGGAGTAATCCCTGTGCATAGTCCGGGTATGACCCAAAAATAAATATAAATAAATAAAGCTCTGCCAAGAGTGATTCCTGAGCATAAAGCTGGGAGTAAACTCTGAGCACCGCCAGCTGTGGTCCAAAACAAAAATCAGAAACAAGAACAAAAAAAACAACCCAAAAACCAGTCAGAAAAGACTTTAGCTCTGAACCCAAATGCTTCTTCAACGTGCAAGCACAAGGGCACGGAGGTGGGGTCAATTAGGGTGTTTGGGGCCACACCCAGTGGTGCTCAGAGCTATTCCTGGCTCTGAGCTCAGGGATCACACTCCTGGCAGGGCTGGGGAACCCTATGGGGTGCCGGGGATTTCAACTGGGCTTGGCCACGTGCAAGGCAAGTAGAGCCTTGACCCTGTACTATCTCTTTAGCCTCGACAAGGACATTTTGTACCAAGTGCCTTCATCTGAAATTCTCAACAGAAAATTAAGTTTCAGAATCAAGGATCTTGCCCAAATGGTAAAATATATCCCTGGCACCTGGCCCCAAAAAACTGCTGGTTTGATAGCACCACCAGGGGGTGCTGGAGTGGCATTGGCAGCATCCTAGGAGCAACCCTGAAGCACCAAGCTGAAAGTAGCCCCCCACCCCCGTACCACAGGGTGTGGCCCCAAACTACCCCCCAAATATTAAAGAAAAAATTATTCCTTTATAAGGCCAGAGCAATATTACAGCAGGTAGAGTATTTGCCTTGCATGCATCTGACCCAGGTTTGATCCACGGCATCCCATATGCCACCAGGAGTGATCCTGAGTGCAGAGGAAGTGCCGAGCACTGCTGGGTAGGGCCCAAAAATGAAAAATGAAGTAAAAATCTGGGGGCTGGAGAGATAGTATGGAGGACAGGACGCTAGCCTTGCTTGCATACTGTCGACCCAGGTTCAATCCTTGGCACCCCATATGGTCCCACAAGTGCTGCCAGGAGAACTCCTGAGCATCGTTGGGTGTGGTTCAATAGCAACAACAAATTCCTTGTGAAAGATCCAAATATAGCTAAAGTCCCGGCTAACCATCTTGCCCCATGGGCGGGGAACCCCCAAGGGCATTTTACAAATCCTATTTCTTCTGTGTCCTGTGAATGTACTTTTCTCTTTTTATTATTTAAAAAATTTTTGGTAAACCTGGCAGTGCCTGTGGGACCTTGTGCTGTTGGGGTCGGCCCCCTGCAGGCAGCCTGTGCTCTGGTTGGCTGCACTCCCTCCCCTCCACACACATATTTTAAGAGGCTCGCAGAGACCGTGACTCAGGATTGTCCACAGTGGCTGACGCCGCAGTTGCTTCTCAACACTGAGTGCTAGAGCGTTCTGTTCCGCAGCCTTGTCCTTGCCCCCCCACCCCCGCCCCATGCTGGGGTGCCCGTGACCTGGGCTCACACCTGCACTTGGCTGTGGTGCTCGCTTGAGGCATTCCTACATGCTGGCACCTTTTTCACTTGTGCTCGTCACATGCCTGGCGTCGGCGCTCTGTAGATGATGCCATTTGCGGTGGCACAGGGATGCCAGAGCCTGCCCCCCACCCCCGACCATGTCTGGACCCATCGCAGCCTCACCCTGACAAGGGAGGCAAGTCTGCCACTGAGCCCACTTCCTCTCTGTGGCACCCACATTGTTGTAAGTGCCTCTAAATAACCAGCTCTGTGTGCACAGATGTTTCTCTGGGTAGCTATGGAGGAATCGAATGAGCCCATTTACATTTCGAAATTAAATGCCAAGTGGTAGGACAAATGCTCCGGCTGTGCATGGCGCTGCTCTCAATCCTCAGCACCACAGGCTCTCCCAACGCCAGGCCCCACACTGTGGTGCGGCCCCCACAACAATTAAAAGCGAAACAACAAAGTTCAAAACATAGCTGTTCTCTACAGTGGCAGTACAATCTCCGTGAAGAGATACCAACAAATAAAGTCAATAGTATGAAAGAGAGATATAGCCAGAACTTAGACTCCGAAACCATAATGTACAACTTCTATGAATCAATAAAAAGAAGAAACAAGTTTAAATGAGCATGGAGAAGTTCAGAGAAGCCAGGTGTTTCATTTCAACAGGAATTAGCCATGCAAAATCAAAGGAATAGCACGTCTAAAATCTATCAGATTTTATTATTATTATTATTATTTTTTGCTTTTTGGGTCACACCTGGCGATACACAGGGGTTAGTCCTGGCTCTGCACTCAGGAATTACTCCTGGCAATGGGATGCTGGGAAACAAACCCGGGTCGGCCGCGTGCAAGGCAAATGCCCTACCCGCTGTGCTATCACTCCAGCCCCTAAAATCTATCAGATTTTAGATACTGACAACTGACCGCAGTGCAAAAGCAAGTATTGGGGCTGGAGGGACAGCATGGGGTTACGGCACTTACCTCGCACATGGCCGAGCCTGGTTCCAATCATCAGCACCATAAATGTTCCCTGAACACTGCCAGAAACAGTCCTGAGCTCCACCTGGTGTGACTCCAACCCTCCCCAGTGAAAAGCGAAGAATAAACCAATGTGGATGAGTGGGGATGCAGCTCAGGAAGAGAACACACGTGTCACAAGTGTGAGACCAGGGAGCTCGAAACAAAGCTAAAAGACCCCAGTATTGATAAGGCTGCCCCCCACCCCCGACTATGTCTGGACCCACGGTGGCCTCACCCTGACAAGGGAGGCAAGTCTGCCCCTGAGCCTGAGCACCCCACTTCCTCTCTGTGGCACCCACATTGTTGTTTAAGTGCCTCTAAATAACCAGATGGCGTCATCTACAGAGCGCCGACGCCAGGCATGTGACGAGCACAAGTGAAAGAGGTGCCAGCACGTAGGAATGCCTCCAGCGAGCACCACAGCCAAGTGCAGGTGTGAGCCCAGGTCACGGGCACCCCAGCATGGGGCAGAGGGGGAGAAGAAAGCTGCAGAGTGTCCCAGAGCACGTGCCAGTAACCAGCTCACAGGCCGACAATAACCTGCATTGGAACACAGCAGATGCTAAGTGACTTTGACCAAGATAATCTGCCTAGACTGCAGTTTTTATTTTTTTAAATTTTCTTGGTTTGGGGGCCACACCTGGCGATACACAGGGTTTACTCCTGCTGGGCTCAGGGCGCCTGGGATGCCAGGGACTGAACCTGGGTCAGCTGCATGCAAAGCAAGGATCCGACCTGCTACACTATCGCTCCAGCCCCTAGGAAGCGGTTTTCAATCAGTCAACATTCCAAAGTTTCTTTCAATAGATCATTTTATCTCCACGTCTGGTCTTTATTCCAACAACTGCTGTGTGTGCGCGGAGCAAAGGCAGTCTATAAGGAGACGAGGCTCAATGCTGTGCTTTCCCGGCGGCTGTGTTTTCCTGCAGACCCGCCATGTACCAGGAGGCAGAGCCACTCAAACCACCCTCGTCTCCATGGCAGCCAGACAGGTCCTGCCCGCGTCCCGCACTGCAGCAGCCAGGAGAGGGTATCCGTGTTCCTGTGTGCCAGCAGGACAGGAGGGGACTCAGGTGGCCAGCAGGTCCCACAGCTCACTGTTGACAGGCAGAAGGTCACAGGCCAGTCTTGCCTTCCGGTCCCGAATGGCCTTCAGGGCCGGGCTGTGTTGCAGCAGGAGGGAGCAAATGTCCACATGGCCCTTTTCAGCAGCCTGGGGACAGAGGCCTGAATGGACAGAGGCCCACCAACAAGAGCCCCTTCTTTTCTCCCTGCTGGGCATCTCTGCTCCTAACTCCCACCTCAGGGAGGGGAAACAGTGGCTGCGGGCATAGGTGGAGATCCCCCAGCTACTGCAGCTCAAGGCACGAGCTTTTGGATTCTTCCTGGGTCTTCCTCTGTCCAGGTCAGGGGGAGCTCTGTGGGTTGGACACAGGCTCTGTAGGCACAAGACCCAGGCTTCTCCCCACACCACAGAGCCCTGTAAGCCCTAGTGGGTATGAGCCCTGAGCACAAAGTGGGGAAAAGCCCCCAGTACAGCTGAGTATGGCCTAAGATCCAAAATGGAAAAGAGAGCCAAGTCCAGAACCTTGGCTATCAAAGTGTTCTCCACACACATGCAGCTCACCCACAAGGTGCCAGGCTGGCCAGCCACAACTCGCAGTAGCAGCGGAGAACAGTTCCTGAGATCCTAGTATGCGTGACAATTCCTCACCTACCTCCTTCATAACAACCCAGTGAAATGATGACTCATGTAGTTTCTATTCCTCAACTTTTTTTTTTAGGGGGGGGGGAGGCAGCACACCTAGCGGTGCTCAGAGCCTCTCCTGACTACAGAGTCAGGAGTCAGGGCTCACTCCTGGAGGGCTTGGGGGACCATATGGGATACTGGGGATGGGACCTGGGTTGGCCAAGTGCAAGGCAAGCGCCCTACCCGCTGTGCTATGACTCCAGGCCCCTCTTCCTCAACTTTCACAGTAACTGCCGGAGGTAGGAACTAAGGCTGCTCTCAGGTTACAAATAAAAAAACAAAAGCGAAGCTTATGAAAGTACATAGGACTTGAGGCAAGGATCAAGAGCAGAGCACACCCCTTGCATGCAGGAGGCCTTGGTTTCCACCCTGACATCAACATACACTTGGAATAAAGGCCAAGTAACTTGCCCAAGGTCACAGAGCCAGCATTGCTGCTGGAAGTTAGACTTCTTTTCTGGCAGTTCCAGAGATCGAACCCAGGGTCTCGGACATGCAAATTTCAAAATCTGAACTCTCTGTACTTGTACTCTAGCATGATATTTCCTGCTATTATCAACAGACATACTATGGACCACAGGAGCTTTTGCTATATCTCAAACATTATTTTTGCTGGGGGAGGGTGGGGTTGGGTGGGGTGGAGAGACAGTATAGTTAAGATACTTGTCTTGCATACTGCTGTTGCTGGCTTGATTCTCAGCAACACAAACAACACCAAGAGTGAGTCCTGGCCACCGAGCCATTAAGTAAGCCCTGAGCAACGCCAGGTGTGCTCCCCACAAGAAGGGGGGGAGGGGATTGGTTTTGGGGTGTTAGGGGGCTCTTCCTTGCTATGTGCTCAGGAGTAATCCCTGGCGGTGCTCAGAGTACCCTCTGCAGTGCCAGAGGTCAAATTCACATTGAGTGCGTGAGACAAGCGCCTTAACCCCTCTAGTATTTCTCTGGCCCCTTAATTCTAGTTTCTACCCACGGGAAACTGCTGGAAGAGTGCACATGAGTCCTCAGCAGTGACAGACGAGGGCTGCCGTCACAAGGGAATCTTCAGTTCCCCACCAGCCTCCCCGCCTGCTGTGGTGGGCGCAGCGGGGCTGGGTTAGCTTGGTGGGCGAGGGGATGTGGTGTGGAGGCCGGGACGCACCTTGTGGAGGCTGGTCATGCCGTCGTCGTCCACCAGCCTGGGGTTGGAGCCATGGGACAGCAGGAGGCGGGCGATATCTGTGTGGCCGCAGTAGCTGGCTCGGTGCAGAGCGGTGGCGCCCCCGTGGGTCTGCGCGTCACACTTGGCACCACTCTCTAGCAGGAACTGGCACACGGCGTAGTGCCCGTTGCGGCTGGCATAGTGCTGCATGGGACAGGCAGGGGGTGTCACACAGCGGAACCCGGGCAGGCATCTGGGGGGTGATGGGCAGTGGCCATCCCCACTGGCTGCAGGCGAGGCAAGTGCCTTCCCCAGAGGTGCCAGTTTCCTCAGCTGGAAAGGGGGGCAGGGAAGGTAGCACTCTCCCCTCCCAGGCTGTTTCCAAATCAGTGACTGGTGCAAAGCACCCCGAGACCAACATAAGAACCCCGTTCATACCAAGACAGAGAAACTGTCCTGGGAGAGAAATGAAGAGGGGCCGGGGCAATACTAGAGGGTCTCACAGAAGGCTGAGTTCGTGCCCCAGCCCCCCAGGAGTCCCCCTCCCCACACCCTCCAACACTGCAGGGTGTGGCCCCAAATGAAAATCAGGAAAAGTCCTGTCCCCACTGAGAAAGGCCCTCCCCGCCAGGCGAGGTCTCTCCCCAAGCCCTGCTCACCAGAGGGGTGTAGCCAGCCGAGTCAGGCTCACTGGGGTCCGTGGACTTCTGGACCAGGTACTTCACTCGACCCAGGTCTCCATTCAGGGCTGCTGACCAGATCCCTGCAGGTGTGGGCAGAGAGCGATGACGAGGGGCCTTTCAGAGCCTGGCTCCCCCTGCCTGTCTGCCCGCTGCCCTCCCATATCTGCGGCAGTGGTGGGGGGTGAGGGGCACCTCAGCATGTGGGCAGTGCCGGGGACTTAACTTGTAGCCTGTCCCTGCAAGGCAGTTGCTCCTCTACTGAGCCAGCTTCTGGCCCTTCCTTTCTCTCTCTCTCTGCTTTTATTGTTGGTTTGCTTTTTTGTTTTTTGTTATACTTGGTAGTGCTCAAGGGTTGCTCCTGGATCTGCAGTCAGCATAAGTCCTGGTGAAGCTTGCTTGGGAGACCATATGGGACGCTGAGAATCAAACCCAGGTTGGTGTCGTACAAGGCAAGCATCCTACACGCTGTACTATCACTCCAGCCCGGTGATCAGGGGCTGGTCCTGGCAGGTTGCTGAGGGTTGCTCCTGGCGATGCTCAGGGAACCACTGTAGAGCAGAGGACTGAACCCAGGCTTCCTGAACGCGAAGCATGTGCTCAGTCCACCGAACTCTCTCTCAGGCTCCTTCACTGCCCTTGTCTCTTTGCTGGGGACCTCAGACCATGGGTGGGGAGGATTGCCCTGGGACCTCCCACCTGCCATCTTCAAAATCCCTTTTCACTGAACCCCTAAACAGAGCTACCAGGACTGCATGCAGGCTTGCATTCATGACTCAGCACTTGCCAGCAAAGGCCTGAAGCCCCCGCACCATCTCCTGGGCTCCCCTTCCTCTTCACCCACACCCTCATCTATGAAACAGTGAGCTTAGTCAGCTCTTCCTGTGCCAGGACTGTCAGAGATGCTGGCGCAGTAGCTGCGAACAATGCAGGTAAGGGGCTCTGTACTCAGTAGGACTGCCTAGATGCAGAAGTTCCTCCTTTCCACAAAACAAGCATTACTTACAAAAAAGCCTAGAATGCATGAACACAGGATCAGAGAGATACTCCTGGAGCTAGGTGGAGCTGGAGACATAGTAAAGGGTCATCAGATACTTTGTAGGAGGCCTGGGTTCAATCCAGGCACCCCAAAGACCCTTGAAGCACCTCCTGGGGTAACTTCTAAGCTCAGAGCTGGGAATAGGCCCCAAAACAAAGGGGGTTAGAGTGTACCCAGAAGCCCACGGTTCGATCCCTGACCCTGACATGGTCACCTGAGCCTCGCTGGGGGGCTTGCCCACAACCACCCAAATCCATAACTAAATAAAACTTAAAAAAAAAAAAACAGGCAGGTGCCAGAGCCAGGGCAGAAAACTCATCCCAACAGCAGGCAAGTGCTGGCTCAACTCCAGAGAGTACTCAGAGGCCGGGGTTGCACTTCCTTCCCAAGCGTCAGGCTCTGAGCTCAATCCTGGCACCCCAAAATCAAAGCAGGATCATCCGGCTGCACACACATCAAGCGGCTTTGAGCGAAGGCTGTCAGCCAGGTGTGTGGCACGGATGGGAGAGGTGGGTGCTGGGCAGTGGTTCATGGAGCATGGGGTGGGACAGCTGAAACTCTCTGCCCTAAACAATGGGAACCACAACCCTGCCTGGCAAAGGCAGAATTCTTAGCCTGCATTGACCTGGGCCAGGCACTGGCATCAGTCACAAGTAAAATACTGACACCCAGATTTAGGCCTAGGGTCCTTACACTTTGTTGCTCTTGTTTGTTTTGGGGCCACAGCCAAATGGTGCTCTAGGGCCACTCCTAGCATAGAGCCTGGGGGTACTCCGCTGGTTTTCGATGTTGAGCCCAAACTTTCCACAGGCAAGGCATGCGATCCAGTCTACTGAGCCATCTCTCTGGCCTTAGGTTTTATTTATTATTTGAAAAACTTATTTTTTTTTTTTTTTTGCGTGTGTGTAACATCTAGCAGTGTTTAGGGCCTGCTCCTGGCTCTGTGCTCAGGGATCACTCCTGGCGGGGCTCAGGCGAATATAAGGGTGCCGGAGATTGAACCTCCCGGAGACTGAACCTCAACTAAATGTATGACAAGTGTCATACATTTAGTACATCAGTATATATCTGATGTACTCTCTGGCCCCTCCTAAAGAAAAAACTTGTAAAGGACAAGAGAAAAAAGGGGGCTGGCAGAAGGCTCAGTGTCTGCCTTGTAGGAGTGAGATGGAGATCTTATTATTTTTTTTTAGATGGAGATTTTAATCCCTGGCACCACGGCATGTTGCCAGGTGTGATCCTGGCAGTGCTGGTGAGATCCTGCTGCCATTTCCAGCCAAGCTGAAGCAAGGCCTGTGCAAGCCCCGCGGCCACAGTCTGCCAACCCCAGGGAACACCACTGCTGAGCGTGCAAGTCCTGATGTGCTGCCCCAAGGCATACCATCACTAAGTGTACAAGCACATGTGTGAACCTGTCATCACAACATCAACAGGGAAGAGGAGGAGAAAAATTCAGTATGCAAGGAGCAAATCCCCTCTCCCCTGCAAAAAAAAAAAAAAAAGAAAAAAATAAAGATGATAAGAGCATATAAAAACAAAAAAGAGTCAGCAGGCCACAGTACAGCAGGTAGGAAACTTGCCTTGTGTGCATGCAGCTGACCCAGGTTTGATCTCTGTCACCCCGTAAGGTCCCCAGATCACCACCAGGAGTGGCCCCTGAGTGCAGGGCCCTTAAGCAATGCTGGCTGTGGCCCAAAGGTCAAAAATAAAACAACAACAAAAAAGAAGATTGTTAAAGAATAACAATCAGATTATCAGTTGATTTCTTCGCAGAAGATAAAGGAATAATATTTACTAAGAACTGAAAGATGTGGGAACCCTTTTAACCTATACCTAACTAAGCAAGCTATCAAAAAACATACCTCAGAAGTAGCAGAGAGAGGTTCATCCTCCCTCCCCCACCACTGGGAGAGGCCCCCCAAACAAATAAATGCCACTTAAAAAAAGAAGAAAAAAAAGAAAGAGAAGAAAATCATCTTTCAGGTCAATGAATCCAGAAAGAAGAAATGGTCTGAAGAAATCCACACCACAAAATAGATAAAGCTCTTTCCAATGTATAGAAAACATAAACCAGCCAGCACGCAACATAATGTCTCATTTAACAGATCTGCTTTGATGAAAGCAAGGCGATGGGGATCTGGTGGTCTTCAGGACACAGCCCCACTCACATGGAGCAAATTTCTCTCTCCACAGCATTGTGACTGGCACTCACATCCAGCCAGATCCTGCACTGAGGGGTCCTTCCTGGGGTCTGGGTCCTATGGGCTATCTCCTTACAGACTGCAGACTGGCACGCCCTCCCAGCCCTGACAGCCCGAAATGTCTCCAGACACTGCCAAGGTCTCTGGGGCCAGAATGGTACACCGCGGAAGCTGTCAGAACGGGGTGCTCAGGGTGGTATATGCTGGAGGCTCAGGAAAGCACCCATGGCCCGGAGGATCATGAAGGAAGGGCACCTGCCTGGTTGATCTCTGGCCGTAGGAACTAGTCCAAAAAAGCCAAGCACCAGCTAACATAAAGCTGTGGGAACTTCTGGCAAGAACATTTGTCTCTGTTCCCTGCTAGGGCCACACGAGACCATGCTTTGTGTGGTCCCAGGGGCTTGCACACCTAGGCAGGTGCTTTCATGCCTCAGCCTTCTCCCCCATCACAGAACAAGGATCTTGGTTTTGTTTTCCGGGTGGGGGGGTGGGGGGTGGATGCCACACCTGGTGGTGGGCTTGAGAGGGCCACATGGGACGCCAGGGATCAAACCCACTATATCCTACCCTTTGAACTATGGTTCCAGCCCCAGGACAAGATCCTGAGGCAGGAAAAGGCTCTGCAAGCTTGAGAATTTGCTAAGAGCGGACCAGTGACGGGAGGAAGAAAAGGAGAAATAAAACGGGGGGGGGGGGGGGGGGGAGGGATACAGAAGGAGGGTCCTTGGGAATTAGCTGACAAAGAACTTGGTCATGTGGGTAGGTAGTGGGTTTATTCTAAAATCAAGAAGAACATCTGGAGGCTGGAGCTATAGCACAGCGGGTAGGGCGTTTGCCTTGCACGTGGCTGAGCTGGGTTCGATTCCCAGCATCCCATATGGTCCCCCGAGCGCCATCAGGAGGAATTTCTGAGTGCAGAGCCAGGAAGAACCCCTGAGCATCGGCGGGTATGACACCCCGCCCCCCCCCCAAAAAAAAAGAAAAAAAAAAGAAGAGCATCTAGTAGAATACTTGCAAGAGGCTCACGGGGTCGGAGGGCGCAACTCCCGCAAACCACAAGGGGGCAGCGCGGGTCTGGCCACTGGGAGGCCACGACGGGCCGCGGAACACTCAGGGCCCGAGGTCCGAGAAGAGGGGCTCGTTTGGCCTTCCTCTCTCCTTCCAGGAGACCCCAGCTTCGTCTGCTGCTCCGGGCCGCTGGTCCCTCCCAACGCTGCCCCCGCTGCCCCCTCGTTGGCCAGGTCCCTGGAGGGCCTGCAGGGCGCCCCCGGCCGCCAGCGCGCGGCCCCTGGCCAGGCCTGACTGCCCCCCGGCTGCGGAGCCCCGCGCGCCCGCCTCACCCCGCTCGAAGTCCATCTCGTCCAGCGTCTGCTGCACGCCGGCCGCCGCCGGGCGGGAGCAACAGGCACCGTCAGCGCAGGGCCGCGGCGCCGCCATGACGGCCCGGGCCCGCCCCCGGAGCGCCGAGCGCCGGCCCCGCGGCGGCGGCGGCCTCCAGCCAATCAGGCGCCAGGCCCGAGTGCCCGAGCCAATGGCGCAGAGGGGCGGGACTTGCCGCGCGAAGCGGCGGCGGCCGCGCGAGGGCGCCCGAGGCTAAGCGGAGTTGCGGCCCCCTCGGGGGGCTGGGGGACGCGCTCCCAGAACCCAGGCCTGCGGGCTCCCGGTCTTTTCCGCCCGCGCCCCCTGCGGGGCCCCGCTTGGCAGCGGTTGCCTGGCGTGCCAAAGCCTGCCCGCTCCCCCCCCACTCATCCCCTATGGGATGGGCCTATGGGAAGGTCTAGGGACAGCCGCCCTCGGGAAGCCAGGGCAAGGGGTGGGCCCCCAGTTCTGGGCACTGCACGGTACACCATATGGAATGTGCATCCGCAGGGGTTCCGCAGACCCAGCCCTCTCCCGTGACCCCTAACTGTCGAGTGCAAGGCACTTCACAGAACCGAGGCTGGACAGTGGCTGCACGTGGACAGGTGCCTAGGATTCCGTGTGAGGCTTCATCCCAGGCGCCACAAAAAAAAAAAAAAAAATCCCCAAACGGAGCACTAAATACGAGCATTTCTGGAGCCTGCGCGGAAAGAGTTTCTCCCTGAGCAGGCTAGATCCGCCTCTCACACTCCTGTACCCCCCCTTCTGGGCATGGCCCCTCACTCCCGCTCCCAGGGTTCTGGGGACCCCCCACCCCCATGCGTGCCTCTCCCTCTGGCCTGAGGCCAAGGCTGGCTCCCTAGAGGCTGTGGCCCTGGTCTGGTTCCCAGCCACACAGCCACTACTGTGGGAAAATGCTTTGCCCGAGCTCTGTCCCTCTCTCGGGAGGGGCACAGGCTGGGATAACCAGGGGCAGCTGCCCAGTACTCAGCCTATGGAGCCTTCCCCAGGTCCCCAGAGGCTTCTGCCCGCCCTCCACTGTGTTTTTCTCGGGGGGCGGGTGGGGGAAGGCATTCAATGGATGCAGAGGGACCCTCCCAGGCCTATGCTGGGGTGCTCATGGGGGTGGGCTGTGTGCTAGACCAGGGCCTTAACACCAGTCCTCTCTCCCTGACCCCACCCACGCATCTTCTCCTTAGTTCATTTTGTTCATTTTATTTGTCAATATAAAAATACTCAAGTATTTACAACAAATAAATACGCGGGGACACAATAAGTTACACTGTTAGCGCTCCTCCTTGGGCTGGCCCGGTGCACAGCAGCCCACCCTCGCCCGCCCCCCTCCCACACAGCCTTTCCCAGCCCGCCAGGGAGGACCAGTATAAAACACCAAACCCCAGGGTCAAGAGGGAGGCCCTCCCCCCACCCCCCCAACACACGGGAGGCTCATCTCCCTCCCCCCCACCCCAAAACATTCACAGCCCTTAGATTAGGGGCCGGCGCCCCTCAGAGCCCTGTACCCCCCAAAGGGGCCCACACCCTGCCCAGCCCCCCCCCATATATACATCACTGCCCACCAGGGACAGATGGGGGCAGGAGAGGCCAAGTGATAACGACCCCTTCCCCTTCATAGCTCCAATAATATACCAGGCGGACCCCCAGCCACAGGAAGACTCAACAGAACAGGAAGACGGTATCTTTCGTCCATGCACACACACACACTCACACACATGCACACGTATGTACAAACACACACATGAACGCACACACCCAAGTCCAACTTTCTGCCTTGGAGAGTTTTGGCTGCTGGGGTCCGTGTGTCCGTGATTCACAGCCCCTCCTGGAGGAGGCAGAGGCTTCCGTGAGCTGGAGCCCTGGTGAGCCACGCTGGCTGGCAGTGCCCATGCTGAGCAGAACAGGTCCTCATGGCCCGATGGCGCGGGGTGGCCTGTCCCAGGCCGAGCTGGCGCCCGGGCCATGTCCCTGAGGTAGCTGGTGCCTGTGCAAAAAAAAGTCGGGGCCATGCCTCCCACGCTTCTGCTGCGGGGCAGCCCTCATACGGAGGACTCCTCGGGGTTGGAGTCCGGCAGGGGCTGGCGCTGCTGCAGTTTGCGCCGCAGTTCGTCCGCGAGCTCAGGCAGAGGGTGCCCAAGCCCGCCCCGGTCTTCCCCTCCGAGCTGTAAGCGCACGTAGCCGTTGGCATTTGAGTTCCGGCCGCCCCCCAGGTGAAGCCGCGTGGGAGACGGCAAGGGCTGGCCGGGGATACCAGGGGGCGAGGAGGGGGGCCCGCCCCCCGGTTGGCAGCGGGCGTGGCCAGGCACAATCTTGAGGGAGCCGTCCGAGTAGTAGTAGCCAACAGGGTCCCAGAGTTTCTCGTCTGTCTCAGGGCCAGGCCGGAAGGGGGGGCTGCTGGGCTCCTTGGGCAGTTCCAGAGGGTAGACCAGGGTCCTCTCCGCAGTCTTGGCACCTTTCTCGAGCTCTTCCCGCAGCCGGCGGCGCAGTGATAGCACCAGCAGGAGCAGAACCAGGCACACGGCACCCAGCGCCACCACCGCCAGCCACACCAGCCCCAGGCTCTCCAGAGGGGCCCGGGCCTCCAGGGTCACCGATGGGTCGGCCACCACGGTCACCAGGTAGTCTTCGGCAGCCAGTCGCGTGCCCTGCTCCTCGGAAAAGCAACGGTAGATGCCCGCGTGGTGGGGCTGGGCAGCCATCACGACCAGGGCCTGCAGGCGGGCGTCGTACAGGAAGATGCCGGGCTGCTCAGGCAGGTCCCGGCTCCTGAAGGTCCAGCGGGCACGGGCCAGGTTGGAAGAGAGGTGGCAGGGCAGCACGAGGTCTGTGCCCGCCACCACCGTGATGTTTTTGGATGTGAGCTTGACTGTTGAGAGAACGGAGACCGAGTTAGTGCAGGAAGGCCCATGGGGTTCCAGGCCACGGGGAGGCGCCACAACGCGGCAGCTCTCACCTTTCTTAGTGCCACGGACGTTACAGATCCCCGAGGTGTCGGAGACCGTCACGTGCTGGAGGAGCAGGGCTCTGCAGAGAGGGGAGAGTGGTGGCCCATCAGCTCCCTCGCCCGCCTGCCGTCCTCCCTGGCCCACTCTGTGCAGAGCCCCACTCACCCCGGGGGGCCACCCACGGCCACACAGCGGCTGGTGTTGACGTTCCAGGCACAGTAGGGGTCGCGGGCGAGGACGCAGTCGGCACAGAAGCGATACTTGGTGCAGTCGGCCAGGGGCACCTGCACCAGCTGAGAGCGGGAGCCGGCAAAGAGCAGCTTCTGCGAGGAGAGGCCGGGCCAGGTGAGGAGGGCCTGTGGTGCTCAGGGATTCTGGCTCGAGGACCCTGCGGTGCCCGGGACCTAACTAACCCAGGTCTCTCCACTTGCTTTGCCTGCACTCAGCCCACTGAACTCTCTCTGGCCCAGTTTTCCAGTCTTGAGGGAAATTTAAGGACCAAGGAACACATGAAGAAAGTGCTTACTATACGCCAGCTACAATCCTAATTAAGCACCTCGCTGCTGTGACCTTATTAGAAAGGCAGGCTCTGTGTGCACACACGCACACAGCTTCAACACAGTACAAAGGGAACAGGAAATCCACTTCCCTGCAGCCCCTCCGCGTCACGAGAGCATCAGCACAGCAGAGAATGTTTTCCTCTGTGTGAACAGCAACTGCCAAATGGTAATGCCCAGAGATTCTCTTTTTGTCATTAATCCTGGTTCTGGGGGTCCACATGAACCACACAACCTAGTGAGGGGTGGGGGGTGGGGTGGGCCCAGGAGATTTCCAGGTCCCCACCACGCCAAGACGGGGAGATGATGCATCATGCCAGGAGCAGGAGAGGCTGGGCCCTGTATTGTATGCCGTGGAGCCCCGGGACAACCTCCAGAGATCTGAAGATGACCGCGAGCAGTTAGTTGCCAAGGCTGGATTCCGGGAAAGCGCCCCACAGGGAGCTGCTATATTTAACGCTGCAGAGCCCAGATTCCGTTAGTTCGAGGATTTCCTGAAACTGCCCCAAGTCAAGAGAGATCCCTGCCCCCCCCCCCACCCAAAAGAAAGGGTTGAGCAGTGGTGGGTGGGACACAATGGCTACCTTTCTCTCGGACAGGACCAAGCTCTCCACAGGCTCCTGGTCGAAGACCTGCAGCTCCTCGATCAGGTGGACCCAGGGCCCCAGGCTCACGGCCTTGAGCAGCGAGCCGTCCTCTGTGGGAGCAGGCAGAGTGAAGGCGTGAGGGCAGGGCTCCTCTGCCCTCCTGGCCCCACCCCTGCACTCCCATGTGGCCACTGTCACTGTCCTCCCGTTGTTCATCGATTTGCTCGAGCGCGCCCAGTAACGGTACCTGTGCCAATAAACAGCACAGTGTAGGTGGTGCCGTCCAGCCCGGTGACTCTGTCAGCAACCAGGTGGGTGAAGTTGGTATCCTTCTTCACCAGCAGTGGCCGGCCCCAGCGAGGGGCCACCTGCTCCTCCATCAGCGGGTGCTTCTTGATGAAGTTGAGAGTGTTGTCGGGCAGCTCCAGGGAACTGGTGTAGCCGTGATGGCGGTGCCAGTTGTTGATACACTGGGAGGTTGGGGCGGGGGTGGGGGCAGTCGTCAGTGAAGGGGGAAAGGCCTGGATGTGGGGAGGAGTAGCGTGCTAGGTGGGAGGTCTCACCGAGCCTGGCCGAGGACTGGGCACTGGGTCAGTATAGCGGCCCCACTTCTGGGCTTCTTCTCGGTACTCCTTGTAGGGACCCTCGAATACCCTCTGGATCTCTTCCAACTGGTACTCACAGACTGCTGACATGTCCACGTCACCCCTGTCACAGCGAGGGGAGGGCCCAGGGGTCAGGCTGGAGTCCTTCCCTTCAGCTCAGGGTCATTAGTAGGAGGGCAGGACCCAGCAGAGATGCCTCACCACTGCCCCCCACCCCAAAGCTTCACAGGGTCCCTGGGGGTCAAGAGACAGCAGAGTGGGTAGGGCATCAGCCTGGCAGGCGGCCTACCCCGGCTCTAATCCCTCAATCCCTGCGACCATATAGCGTCCCCCTGGCACCACAGAGGGCTGGTGTACCTGAGCTGGGTGTACCCCAAAACTC